TGCGCCTAATACTTCCCAGAATTAGATAAGCAGGATATGTCCCTCCAGGGAGAGAATGTGCATTCCATTCTATCTCTGGAATTTCAATGTGTAGGTCGGATGTATGGAAATCTCAGATTGCTACATCAAATGTATGGATTATCATTATTATTATTATTCTTGTCTGGTTATTACTACTGGGAACCACTGATCTTTATTTAGTTTTTCAACAGGCATATATGGAGAGAAGCAAATAGAGGGTGTTGGAGAGGGGATTAGGAGTGGTGGCGGCTCATATGAAGTATAAGCAGAGGCACAGACTAGTTGGATTGAATGCCCCATTTCCATGCTATAACATTCTATAATAACATGCCTCATTTCGGCCACAAAATATACAGCCAATTCACTTTACAGTATGTTCTGTGAAGCGCTTTGAGATGTTTCGAAGACACGATAAGGCGCTATATCAAATGTAAGCATTATTATTAGTTATATTCATTTTTCTCCAATACTGACTCACTCAAAGCTGTGAGGAGAATTCAATCATTACCTGTAGATGGCAGTGTTCGCCATAACATCGATGGAGATTCCTCTCTGTTGTGTTCATTCTGTCTGTCCAATGAACGATACAGTGAATAATAAGCATCTGTTAACCATGCAGGGAACAATAAGCATCTACTAACGTGTTACATGGCACTACAAGTTACCTTAAACGTATGTACATAATACCTTCATGAAGTCCTGTAGCGTATCAGTTAAAGCACTCGCCTCGCAAACGTAAGGACCAGGGTTCGCCCACAAAATATACAGTCAATTCACTTTACAGTATATTCTGTGAAGCGCTTTGAGACATCTCGAAAATGTAATAAGGCGCTATATCAAATGCAAGGATTATGATTATTATTGAAGGAGGCAAGGCAAGGAGCAACGCAAAGGGAATGTAGGATCGAGTTCCAAAGGGTGGGGGCAGAGAGGCTGAAGGCAAAACCAGTGGAGTCAGGCGAGGATGAGCGATGATAGGGGCAGGGAGCCTGGTGTGTAAATAATGCAAAATAAATTAAAATGTAATAATTTTTTAAAATAATCCTTACAATTGATATGGCGCCTTTCAAATTGGGTGGACATCTTAAAGTGCTTTACAGGTGTAGCGACTGTATATTTTATGGGTGAAGTGCGGCAGTCATTTGTGCACAATAATATCCCACAAACAGTCGTGGATTGAGTGAACAAATTATTATTTTTTTTATTTAAATATAAGTTAAATATACGCAATGCATTCCAGATCCAAACAACTTGCTGTGTGAAAAAATTTCTCCTCACCTACACTCTGTTTTTTTTAAAACAATTATTTTAAAATCGGTGTCCTCGGGTTACTGACCCACCCTCCAATGGAAATAGTTTCTCCTTGTTCACCCTATCGAACCACCTTATAACTTTGAAAACTTCTATTAAGTCTCCTCTTAACTTTCTCTGCTCCAAGGAGAATCATCCTGGCTTCTCCAGCCTCTCCTGATAACTGAAGTCCCTCATTCCTGGTACCATCCTGGTAAATCTCCTTTCACCCTCTCCAAAGCCTTGACATCCTTCCTAAAGTGTGGTGCCCAGAACTGAACACAGTACTCCAGCTGAGGTCTAACCAGTGTTTTATAAAGGTTCATCATAACTTCCTGACTTTTGTATTCTACGCCCCTATTTATAAAGCCCAGTGTCCCGTATACTTTTTTAACAGCTTTATCTCCCTGTTCTGCCACCTTCAAAGATTTACTTATATGAACCCCCAGGTCTCTCTGTCCTTTCACCCCCTTTAAGATTGTACCATCAACTTATATTGCCTCTCCTCATTCTTCTTCCCATAAATGCATCACTTTGCATTGATCCACATTAAACTTTATCTGCCACGTGTCGGCCCATTTTACCAGTCTGTCTGTGTCCATTTGCAGTGCTACTATCCTCCTCACTGTTGACTACTTTTCCTAGATGAGGGGACAATGTCATTCTTTCATGTATAGCAATGTTACTGTAATGACAATATCAAAGTTCATAAGTACATTGGCAGAAGGTGAAAATCTCAAAATCTCTTCTGTCTCATTTCTGGAACTAGCAAGTTTTGTCTCTGGAACTGACACACTGATAATAGCATCGAATTAAGGAACCAAAAATCCTTGTCTCTATCAATTGTGTTTCAGCTGGAATCCTGTATTATTTTTCAGCTTTCTTCTGTTGTTGCTGAAATCACTGGAACAGTCGAGGCCGAATGGCTTGAGTCAGAGCAAGCGAAGGATGCACTCGCTCTCATCAACTCAGTCTGAACACCATGATGACCAATTCTGCTCGCACAAAGTATAGCTTAGCTATATCTCTCTTATCATTGTCCATTTTTAACACCAAGATAGATGGTCCATGTGAATCTACACGTCCTCACAAGTGCTCACCCACCTGATAATTGTTTTCAGCCTGGTTTAAACAAGCTAGAACCGTCCTTGGGTACAGTACCGAGTCCATGAGCTGATTTTGATTAAAACTATACAGGACTGTTGTATCAACAACTAACACAAAAGTTGCAGCTGTAATAAACACAGATAAGATAATTCCTGCTGACAATTTGCTCACAGAGACATGTGCATGGCTTTTTAAAGTCTTTATATTTATAGGTTAAAAATGTCTCCAGTCAGTCTTTCCGAATATTCAGTAGAAAGTTATCTAAAATAATACTCATCTGAATAATCCAAAACAAATATACTCATTTGATACATGTCTTTTGAGGGACAATACAATGATATAGATTTGTATATTGAACACATAATTCTCATGAACTGTTTTCATGTATTTAAATGAATATAACATGCAACTCATGATGTCTCTTTCCCTTTGTATGTAAATATTTGTCAGTTAAATACCAGCAACTTGCACATGCAACTGTACAGGCATCAATGGATTGTTTCCAAAGTTACATTACCTGTGTAATTGTCACAAGTTTAAATTGATGTGGAATAATTAAAAATGTCCAGTGTTTGATGTACATATATACGTGTTTATAATGTCATTGTTGTAGTGATTCCACTACGACTACCCTGTTGCTGCGTGTAATAATAATAAAAATCCTTGCATTTGATATAGTGCTTTTCACGTTTTCTAGACGTCTCAACGCGCTTCACAGAATATGCTGTAAAGTGAGTTGACCATATATTTGTGGGCGAAAAGTATGTCTTTGATTCACATTGTACAGAATTGGATACTCACAGATGTGGTTCAGTACAAATCTGGGTTCGACAACACTGGTCTAAGACCATGATCTTAAAGACCTAGAGTGGAGCTTGAACCCACAACCTTGTGACTCAGAGGCAGGAGTACCACTAACTGACATTTGGATCAAAGTCGCAAGGCATGAGAGTAACAAATAACTGAGCACAGGCTTGTGTTTGTATAAATGGAGCAAATTTTCCCACCCTAATATTGTAATTGTATTATTGTACTTATTTCCAGGCCTACTTCCTTCTAAGAAGTCAAAATCATCCTGCTCTCATGAATGATTGCACAATATTCTCCTGTGGTGGAATGTGCTCATTCACTGGGAATGTTCTTTCACCAATTCCCACCCTTCCCTCTTTACTGACCTTCAATTTTGCCTGAGGGATACATACAAGTTGTATAAAGAATAACAATGTTGTGTAATAAATCAAACCCACGCATTGGGCAACCTCAACAGTTTTAATATCCTGGATATTTTATGACAAAAGGCACTACTGGCAAAATGTTTCAGTTATTATATTTAAGATGTAATAGTTTTCAATTACCTATATAATTACAAAACATTTGTAAAATTTCCAGACAACGCTCTCACCGAAGTTATGTTGGCACATTTTATGAGTTTATTCAACTCCCTCACGTTTAGTACAGTCCATATCTCATACGTTTCATGCTGAGCTGTCTTGCCCACCAGGAAGCATGCAGGTAGTACTCAGTACCAAGCATCCGCTTAGTATAAATAATTATTTTAAAAAGATTTGTGCAAAGTTCACATACTTTCTTAAGTGAAGGAACATTATATGCTTATAGCAAAGGTGGAGACGTAAGGAGCCCAGGGAAACCTATCAAACAAGTTATAGAGAACGGCAAGTTAGTCATAAACAAAAGTAGCAACAACATAATGGGAATCCAATTTAGGATATTATATCTTCACTGTTAAGCACCTTATGGTTTCTTCATGGTGTGAAGGGCTATCTCACTAATTGTTGCAATATCTGACCACACTGTCTGGCACCAGCTGTTCAGTACTGAGGAGAATCCAATTCACAGTTTTCTGCTCTATCTGCAGAGAACTGTTGAACTGCTATTTCCTAACAACCACTGTTCAAGAGGATTCATTATCTTTTTGCCCTCCTGGTTGCTAATCTCATACTGATAGTGCTGGAAAAGGTCAAACCAACCCCAGGAAACAAGACCAAGCGTTGATAAAAATAGAACATTTTGGAAAAGAATAGCAGGTGGATCAATACCTATTAGATTTAAGTCATCAGCTGTGATTTCAACAGAAATGGTCAGGAGGAACTGTAATTTAGCAGAAGCAGGATTTTTTTCCATGCACAACATGTCAGTAATAGCAATTACCATGCCTACTCTTCATTTCAAAACACACATCCTAAGCTCACATTGCAGCTATGACTTTGAGCGCTCATAAGGAAAATTCTCATGAACTTATATAAATCAGCCAGACATTTATTTAGTCTTTTATTCTCTTTGTGTCATGTAGGGTAATAATAATAATAATACTAATAATCCTTGCATTTGATATAGCACCCTATTAAGACTTCACAATATATTTGTAGACAAACCTGGCAGGCTGGAATTGTTACCTGTGCTGGCATGAGCTGAAAGGACAACTTAAACTTGCGAGCACGCATGGACTGGTTTAGTCAGTCATCCAATTGTGTGATGAGGGAGAGGTGTGACCTGTGGTATGAACACCTAGCAGTGATGTCAATTGCCACTCATTGGCTAGGCATCTCGTCGCTCTAGTTAAGGTGTGTGAGTGAGGAAGGAGAGACCGGAACCTGTTTCAGCTTGTGGTATTGATTAAACTGCAACACTTTCCTGAGCAGGAGAGATCATTTTAAGATTTACTTTTAAATTGCCCAACTCACAATGGGTGTTGAAATTGAGACAATAACTCCAGGAGATGGTAAGTAACAAATAAAGTAGCAATTCAGCATTGTGGGTTTTTAAAATGACCTCTTGCTGCCACTGTTTTTTTTATTGTATAATTTACCTTGTGACTAGTTCAGTCATTTATACAATGACTAAAAATGTTCATCTGTTCTGAATTCTACGATCACATGTTCTGAAAAAACAAAATGTTGTCAGAAATTTTATTTAAGATACATTTTATTTCTGACTGTGGGTATTCTAAGCTTTCAAGATTTAAAGCCTAAAGCTAAAATTTCCTTTTGAAATTAGGCCATAAAGTTCCAAGTCCCGCAAAGACAATTTTTTAAAAAAAAAAGGATCAATTTGTTTTTCTAATGCTGTTCCCTCTGTTCCTGGTGTGGCCTCCTCTAACTGGGGTTCAGTACTACTGACTATCTGCTCTCTGGTACCACACCCAAGTGTGAATTGTTTATGTGTGAGCCTTGACAGCAAGTATAAACAGACCAATATCACTGCAGAGGGTGTGACAGCTGAGCCTCACCTTTCCTGGCTCAGTTGCCAAACAAGCACAGAACCTTAGAGGGTTCTACAGAGAAACTAGTAACTGGTACGCTGGCCAGTTTTCTCCTTTCTAACAACAACACCTTGCATTTATACAGTGCCGTCCACCCAAGATAGCATCTTAGATTGTCCTTGAAAGACTCAGGACAATTTAATTTTCTTGCTGTATGAGTGGAATTTTTCCCCGATACTTGTACTGTTGTATTCAATATTCAAATGCATAAACAATGTTTGTAGGGTATTGCTGTGTGCAACTGCTTGCTGTGTTTTGGCAGAAAATACAGTCAATTTTCTTGATCAGTACGTTTCCAGCCCATCAAGGAAGGAAGCAGTTCTGGGGAATGAAGTAGGACAAGTGGAGCAGGTTTCAGTGGGAGAGCATCTGGGTAATAGTGATCATAACATCATTAGATTCAAAGTGCATATGGAAAGAGACAAGGATCCATCTAAGGTAAAGATACTTAACTGGAAGAGGGCAAATTTCAGTGAGCTAAAAAGGGACCTAGCCAGGGTGGACTGGAAAGAAAGATTGGCAGGTAAAACAACTAAAGAGCAGTGGGAAGTCTTCAAGGATGAGATAGCTCGGGGACAAAATAAATACATTCCCACAAAGGGAAAAGTAGGGCTTCCAAACCTCCGTGGATGACGAAGGTAATTGTATCTAAAATGAAGCAGAAAAAGGAGGCGTTTGACAAATGTCAAACCCAAGAGACAGAAGACAACCAAATCGAATATAGGAAGTGCAGAAGAGGTTTGAAAAAGGAAATAAGAGGGACAAAAAGATTATACGAAAAAAGGTTAGCGGGTAAAATTAAAGGGAATTCTAAAATATTTTACGAACATATCAAGGAAAAAAGGCTAGTCAAAGGTAGGGTGGGGCCAATTAAGGACCAAGGGGGAAATCTTATTGTGGAGGCAGAGGGCATGGCATGGCTGATGTGCTGAATGAGTACTTTGCAGCTGTCTTCACAAAAGAAGTAGTTGCACTAAATGCCACAGTATCGGAGGAGGGGATAGAGGAAATGGATAGGATAAGTATAAACAAAGAGGAAGTACTGAAATGGTTGACTGCGCTGAAGGTAGATAAGTTGCCTGGTCTGGACGGGATGCAACCAAGGGTACTATGGAAGGCACGGGTACAAATAGCGCTGGCTTTGGCTACAATTTTTAAATCTTCGTTGGACACAGGAGTGGTGCCAGAGGACTGGAGAGTGGCTAATGTGACTCCTCTGTACAAAAAGGGACAGAACGACAAACCTGGGAACTACAGGCCAGTCAGCCTAACATCAGTAGTGGGGAAACTCCTGGAGACTATAATCCGGGACAGAATAAATCTTCACTTAGAAGAATATGGGTTAATTAGGGACAGCCAGCATGGGTTTATTAAAGGCAAATCTTGTCTAACAAATCTAATAGAATTTTTCGATGAGGTAACGGAGAGGGTGGATAAAGGTAATGCAGTCGATGTAGTTTATATGAACTTTCAAAAGGCATTTGACAAAGTGCCACATGATAGACTTGTAAGAAAGATAGAAACTCATGGTATAAAAGGGACAGTGGCAGCATGGATCCAGAACTGGTTGGAAGACAGAAAGCAGAGTTGTGGTGAATGGCTGCTTTTCTGACTGGAGGGAAGTGTACAGTGGCGTCCCCCAGGGATCGGTATTAGGACCACTGCTCTTCTTAATATACATAAATGATCTGGACTTGGGCATAGCAAGCAGCATTTCCAAGTTTGCGGACGAAACAAAGTTAGGTAGGGTGGTAAACAGTGAGAAGGATAGGAGTCAACTGCAGGAAGACATAGACAGAATGGTAAAATGGGCAGACACATGGCAGATGAGTTTCAATGTAGTGAAATGCGAAGTAATGCATTTTGGTAGAAAGAATGAGGGGAGGCAATACAGGCTGGTAATACAATTTTAAGGGGGGTAAAAGAACAGAGAGACCTGGGGTGCAGGTAAATTAATCCTTGAAGGTGGCAGGACAGGCAGATAAGGCTGTAAAAAGGGCAAATGGGATTCTAGGCTTTATAAATAGGGGCATAAGAGTACAAGAGTCAGGAGGTTATGATTAACCTATATAAAACACTGGTTAGACCTCAGTTAGAGTACTGCGCCCAGTTCTGGGCACCACACTATAGGAAGGATGTTAAGGCATTGGAAAGGCTGCAGAGGAGATTTACGAGAATGGTACCAGGAATGAGGGACCTTGATTATGAGGAAAGGCTAGAGAGGCCGGGATTATTCTCATTGGAGCAGAGAAGGTTACAAGGAGACCTAATAGAGGTCTTCAAAATCATGAGGGGATTTGGTAGGTTATAAAGGGAAATACTGTTTCCACTGGTGGGTGTGTCGGTGACTCGAGGTCACAGATTCAAAATAGTCTCTAAAAGAAGCAGAGGGGAGATGAGAAGAACTTTTTTCACGCAGCAAGTTGTTCGAATCTGGAACGCATTGCCTGAAAGGGTGGTCGAGGTCAATTCGATAACTACTTTTAAAAATGCGGTGGATGGGTATTTGAGGAGGACGGGTTTGCAGGGTTATGGGGAAAGGGCTGGGAAGTAGGATTGACATTAATTGCTCTATTCAAAGAGCCAGCACAGACTCGATGGGCTGAATGACCTCTTTTTGTGCTGTACAATTCTATGATTCTATGAATTCACTTTACAATATATTTTGTGAAACGCTTTGAGAGTCTCAATAATGTGATGAGGCACTATATCAAATGCAAGTATGTTTATATAAAAAAAATTGAAATGTCTCAAAATGATTCAAATCTATTTATTGTTGAGTTTCTGTAGAAAATACAGTAGCTATTTGGGTTAGAAAGTTGCCAGTCATTGAGATAAATAAACAATAAATCTGGAGAAATGTTGGCCAATGCAAACCATTTGAGAAAACACTTTTGAATAGTCAATGAGGTATTTAATGTTTTTATGAAACAAGTTGACCTCAATTGAACATTGCATCCAAATAGCATGTCAGACAATCCAATACTCCTGCAGTACAGCATTGGAGTGCCAACTTAACCTACACCAGCCTTTAGAGGATGGTTGTATCTTATTTTTCATAATTCTGTATACTGTATTTTGTTTAGGTGAAACATTTCCAAAGCCAGGAGATACGTGTGTTGTTCACTACACAGGTAAGATGCCCTGCTAATTTCAACTCATTTATTAAGTCCTACTAACTTTCATTGGTCATTTCAGCTATAAGATGGTGTTTGTTCATGGCTGCCTGCCTGGTGCACTGTCACTGAGTTCCTGATTTCAGCTATAAGAGTCTGAGCAAATTCAGAGAGGCTGGGCTGATGATTCACTAAAAGCAGGAAATTGTACCAACATAAACAATTGTTCTGTTTATTTGGGGATCTATCAATTTCACTTCCAGCAACAAGTGGTCAGGAATAGAAACCTGACTTATATTTACCACTGCTAATTTACAACTCTGGGCTAAAAGTGAGTTCTCTGCATGTACGTCTATCTTATGACAGTCAAATATTCAGTCAATCCACTGAAAGTTAATTGAATGGATATCACAGCCATGAAGAGGGTACAATGAAGATTAACCAGAATCATTCTTGAGATGAGAGATTATGGTTCCATAGAGAGAGAGACTTGAAAAGCTAGGACAGTATTCACTGGCGCAGAGATGATTAAGGGTCAATCTAATCAATATTGTTTTGGTCAGCTGGATACTTGACACATGTGGAAACCCAGCATCATGCTTAAGAGTAACCAAACCGATCCAGGAATGCCAGCTATACATGGAAATTCTCGTGTTTAGAATGTAGAATATGCACCTCTCCCTGGAAGGATATACCCTGCTTACCTACCTTCGGAGAGTAATAGGCACAGGATGGCAAGAGCCAAGGCTCAGAGTGTATATGTGTGTGTTGCAGTACTGCTAGAGTTTAGTTTGTCATTGAAAGCACTGGCTGGCAAGCTTCCTGCTGCTTATCACTCTAGGACCACCTTACCCATTGGGGCTTTGACTCACAGGGTTAATAAGAAGAATCCCAGCTCCCAGTGACTGGTCTGCCTTACAAATCCTCCAACAAACCAGGCTGGTTGGTCTGTGATCAGCAATGCCTTCAAGTACTGCAGGAACCAGACTACTGAGATGCCAGAGAATTGACTTGATCGCAACATACTATTGCCAAGCCTGTTACTATGGAGGATGTTCATCTCCAATGAGACACCCCCCACCTCTCCATGCCCCAGGATGATACCAATCTAAAAGGTTTTCATATTTACCAATGGTTTTGTTAGATAATCTCCATTGATTGATGTTTTACAATGAAGATTAGCACCAGAAAAAAATAAAGTTAGAAGAATTAGTGGAGTCCTGTAGCTCAGTGGTTAGAGCACTCGCTTTGCAAGCGAGAGACCTGAGTTCATTTCCAGGCAGAGGGCAAAACCTTGGGCAAATTTCCTTACTCCACACACCTAATAATAATCCCTCCAAAACCAAAAACAATAATAAATTGGTCATTTTCAATCTACGACTGTTTGTGGGACATTGCTGTGCGCAATTGGCTGCCGCGTTCGCCCACAAATATACAGTCAATTCACTTTACAGTGTGTTCTGTGAAGCGCTTTGGGACGTCCTCCCGATGTGAAAAGCGCTATATCAAATGCAAGGATTATTATTATTATTATAGTTGTTGCATATACAAAGACTATCGAATATGGAATATTACCATAAATGGTTGTTGAGGCTGAGTCAATAAACATTTAACATGGAATTGATAAACATTTGAGGAAAATTAATCTTTGAGAGCGGAGGAATTTTCTAGGGTGGGGAAGAGTGAGGAATTTAGCATCAGCACAGAACATATTATACAATATAAATTACATTTGTAGAGTGCCTTTCAAGTCGGGAGCATGTCCCAAGACCCTGGACAGTCAAGCATTTGTACCCAAGTTGGGGTTTGGGATCAGGGAGGGTGGAGGGTAGGAGGGTGGTCGAAGGCCCGGTCGAAGAGGAGAGTTTTGAGACACGCCTTGAAGGAGGCCAGGGAAGGAGCGAGGTGAAGGGAATGTGGGATGGAGTTCCAAGGGATGGGGGCAGAGGCTGAAGGCCCGACCGCTGATGGTGGAGTGGGCTGGGTGAGGGACATGGAGCAAGCCAGACCCTGCTGAGTGGAGAGAGCAGACAAGTTGATATCGGGTCAGCAGGTCGCAGAGGTAGGGAGGGGCAGGGCCATGAGGCCGAGGGTTTTGAACTCTATCCTCTGGGGAATGGGGAGCCAGTGGAGATAGGTTGGGACCCTGGTGTGGGAGAGGATACAAGCCAAATGACTTATTTTTGAACTGTAAACTTTCTGACTTAACAGTCTGTGATTCTAAGGGTGCTCCCTTGACCCCATCCCCACTCCACTCCTTATTTCCCAGCTCCACCTCCTTGCCCCACATATCACAGACATCGTCAACCTGTCCCTCTCCTCTGGCTCTATTCCCATTCCCTTAAAAACTGCCACCATCACTCCCACCTTAAAAAACCCTCCCTTGATGCGTCGCAGCTATCAAGCTACCGGCCCATCTCCAACCTCCCCTTCCTGTCCAAGGTCCTGGAACGAGTTGTCGCCTCCCAGCTGCGCTCTTTCCTCTCCAACCATTCACTATTTGAACCCCTTCAGTCGGGTTTCCGTGCTGCCCATAGCACAGAAACTGCTCTGGTCAAGGTCACCAATGACATCCTGACCATCTGTGACCAGGGCTCCCTCTGCCTCCTCGACCTATCAGCAGCATTCGATAAGGTCGACCATGCTATCCTTCTCCACCGCTTGTCCTCCCTCCTAAACCTTCAAGGCTCTGTCCTTGAGTGGTATAGGTCATACCTCTCCCACCGTCTTCACTATGTCTCCACAAATGTTTTTTCCTCCGGCCCCCGCACTGTCTTGTGCGGTGTCCCTCAAGGCTCTGTCCTCGGTCCCCTCCTCTTCACCCTCTATATGCTCCCCCCTTGGTGACATCATCTGCAGACATGGGGTTAACTTCCACATGTATGCGGATGACACCCAACTCTACCTTTCCTCCTCTACCCTCAACTCCATGACCACCGATGTCCTGACAGCCTGCCTGTCCGACATCGAGTCCTGGACGAGAGATAACTTTCTCCAGCTCAACGTGCGCAAAACTGAGGCCCTCCTGATTGGCTCACGTCAGCGCCTCCGCACCTCAGGCGCTGACAGCATCAGCATCCAAGGCTGCACTCTCCACCTCTCAAAGCCAGTCAGGAACCTCGGGGTTCTGTTCGACCCTGAGCCGTCCTTTCTCCCTCATATCCGCGCCACAACTGGCACCGCCTTCCATCACCTCCGGAACATCGCCAGACTACGGCACTACCTCACCCCTCACGCTGCTGAAACTCTGGTCCACGCCTTTATCACTTCAAGGCTGGACTATGGGAACTCTCTCCGCGCCGACCTTCCCGGCATCTCCCTCCACAAGCTGCATGTCATTCAGAACTCTGCAGCTCGTGTACTGTCCCGCACCAGGCTTCGCGACCACATCACTCCCACCCTCGCTCCCCTCCACTGGCTCCCCATCCCCCAGAGGATTGATTTCAAGATCCTCATCCTCACCTACAAGGCCATTCACGGCCTTGCTCCCTCCAACCTCTCCAACCTACTATCCCCCTACCTACCTGCCCATACCCTCCGTTCCTCTGGCTCCGGTCTGCTCCACATCCCCCGCCCCAACCACCCTACCATCGGTGGCCGGGCCTTCAGCCTCTCAGCCCCGAGGCTCTGGAACTCCATCCCCCAGTTCCTTCGCCTTGCCTCCTCCCTCTCCTCCTTCAAGGCCGGTCTCAAGACCTTTCTCTTTGACGTTGCCTTGAGCTCCCCTCTCAACTCTCTACCCCCTCCGCACTCCCTCCCTTCCCTCCCCTCACCCTGACCATTTCCCCCCTCCTCGCTCCCTCCCTTCCCTCCCCTCACCCTGACCATTTCCCCCTTGCTCGGGTCTGACCCAACTGTGCAGCGCCTTGGGACGTCCTCCCGACGTGAAAGGCGCTCTATAAATGGAATCTTGTTGTTGTTGTTACCCCCCTGCCCTCCACCCTCCCCGATCCTGAGCCCCAACTCGGGAGTGAAACACTGATTGTCCAGTGCCTTGGGATGTCCTCTCGATGCGAAAGGCACTATTCAAATGTAATTTTGTTGTTGTTGAGCTTGCAATGGAGAAAGCTGAAAGATCCAGAAGTGTTAATTGACTATTCATCACTCACCACATCAAAACAGTGTGAAGCAACAATAAACAAGGTAAACAGGATGCTGGGCTATATTTCCAATTCAGTTGAGTTCAGATCCCTAGAAGGCATACTCCAAGGTTATTTTGTAAGTGAACTTGAAAACCTATTTGGAGGATTGTTGGCCTGGACACCAGGAGTAATAATAAGTGAATTTGAAAAGAGAAACTGTTCTCTTTTCAAATAGTGTGCAGGAACTTTTAACATTCACCTGAACAGGCAGACAGGATTTCAATTTAACACCTCCTTTGAAGGATGGGACCGCTGATAATGCCACACTTCCTCACTACTGCATTTCACCACTTTTGAGTATAGAATTATGAAATCTGAAAGGTTTAAAGAAGCTCAGGATTCCTGGGAAGTGAAAAATTATTACTTGGGCAGAAAAACAAACCGATCCGAATAAATCTGCAATATCAACTAGTTTGTGTGGATGAGCAAACTGTTAAAAAGATTTTTAAATATTTTAAAATCTAAAACATATATTTAAAAAAAAACTTGTTCGCTTCAGTAGTTGTGTGGCATTTTGATATTCAAGATACAATCGAGTGAGAAAAAATAGCAGTTGTGGACAGTTTTGCAAGAACCTTAAAGATGTTTAAGATCCTCACTCTCATGTTTAAATCCATTCACTCCCTGGCACTTCCCTACCTCTCCGACCTCCTCACTCCCTAGTCCACCACCCTGCACCTCTGCTCAACTGGCACAGGCATCCTGTTCGTCCCTTGCACCTTCCGTCCCACCACCGGAGGTCGTGCTTTCAGTCACTACTCCCCAAAACTCAGAAACGCTCTTCCTCAATCCTTCCGTCTTGCTCTTTCTCTCCCCTCTTTCAAGTTCCGCCTGAAAACTTTCCTTTTTGACCCTGCTTACGGCCCCTCGCCCCTCCCCGTGGCCTGGAGGTGAGCTCTGCCACTGTGAAGTGCTCTGAGATGCGACCCTGTGTGTTTGCAGGGCTATGGGGAGAGATTGGGGGAATGGGATTGATTTGGGTAGCTCTTTTCAAAGAGCTGGTACAGACACGATGGGCTGAATGGCCTCCTGTGCTGCATAATTTTATGATTCTATGAAATAAAACGCTGGGGTTTGTGTGAAAAAAGGAGAAAATCAGGGGTTGGGGGGGGAAAATTCTCTCATTCCACTTTGTTCTACTGGACTCTCTGCTTCTCTCTCTCTCTGCTTCTCTTTTTCTGTGTCTGCCTCTGATTCCCTTTCTCTGGCCCCCTGGAACATCTGTTTCTCTGAATCTAATTCTCTATCTCTATATTACATAAAATATTTACAGTATATTCTCCAAAGCGCTTTTAGATGTCTCAATAATGTGATAAGTTTCTATATAAAGTACAAGAATTTCTATTACACCGTACAAAAGTTAGAATTAAAGACTTGCCAGTAAAAGAAATCCAATTGTGCTTCAGATTCCTGCAGGAGCACCAACCACCGAAAAAATGTGGGTTTGATTTTTTTTAATATCAAATTTGGGAGAAAGAAGTGTTTTACCAATTTAATTGTCACCCAAAAAAATTATTGGTGGAAAATAACTAATGATCCTTAACTATTTGTCACGTTTCTATGATGTCAATGTGTTAGGTTTCTATCTTGTTTGCAGGAACACTACAGAATGGAACTAAGTTTGATAGCTCCAGAGACAAGGGCAGACCTTTTGAGTTCAAGATTGGCAAACAAGATGTCATTAAAGGCTGGGATATAGGCATAGCACAGGTAATTACTTCACCGATTGTTTCTACAATTGAACTTTTATCTTTTTAACCGATTTTAACTTGTTTTAAAACATTATTTTGTGACTAATGTTTTATTTTCAGGGTAAGAACCATTTTTTCAATTTGCAAAAATGGAAACTAAAAATAATATTTCGGTATAAAGTACTTTGGTAAATGCTGTTGAACTCAAAACTTGCTACAAGTATTTCAATCAGATTCAAACTTTTTCCAATACCCCCCTACCCTGTGGCCAATTAATACAAAAAAATTGGAAGAATTTTTTTTAATAGATTCTCCTCTTCTTCATATGATCGGTGGCCAGGACACCTGGAGAAATTCCCTTCTCATTTTGAATCGTGCTAGGAGATCTATAATGTCCACATGACCAGGCAGACGTGACCTTAGTTTATAATAATAATCCTTGCATTTGATATAGTGCCTTCTCAAGTCTTTGAGACATCTCAAAGTGCTTCACAGAATATACTGTAAAGAGAATTGACTGTATATTTTGTGAGTGAAACATCTCATTTGAAGGACGGCACCTGCAACAGTGTAGCACCACCCCAGCAATGCGTTGGATTATCAGCATAGATCATATGATTTCCCAGTCCTGACATGAGGCTTAAACTGACTCTGAGGCAGAATTGCTACAAACTGAGCTAGACTTTCACACAGTACAATAAACTGATATTATCAAGAGATGATAAAAAATTATTTTCTATCAGATAAAAGATAAAATAATTGTATTTTCATTTACAATTGTTATTTGCAACTGCTAGATTTTAATACATTTTTTTTTGCTTTTACCTGTGTTTTAAAGAAAGTGTTGAGTTCAGTGCCCCTATGTGAGTTAGGGACCTGATAGATGTACAATTTTCTGTAAGACATTTATCATTGCATCCTGTTTTTGTAGGGTTTAATTCCATACAAAATAGTTTTTGTTGTTCTCCATTTAGTTACATATATAGTTGTATGTATGCATATTTGTTTGTTTGCTTGTTATATTAAAAAAAGCTTTCGAAAAAAGTATATCAAAAATCCTACATGAATATGTTTTTGTAATCACAGATGAGTGTGGGGCAAAGAGCCAAGCTGACCTGTACTTCTGATGTGGCATATGGTATAAAAGGCTATCCTAATATCATTCCACCCAATGCCACCCTGATCTTTGATGTGGAGTTATTACAGTTAAAGTAATGAAGGCACTACAAGGTACAAAAGCTTGCTGCTTTCTGTAGGGGGAAAATCATAATTTAATTGATTTTCAAAATAGATGTTTTATACCTTTATATATTTATACAATTATAATTTATGTATACACAGTGCCCTGGCCAACAATCCCCAAAATAAAATTGGTTATTCACTTCATGGCTGTTTGTGGGATATTGCTTTGCCCAAATTGGCTACAACCAATACGGTCACACCACTTTACACTATCCCCTATGAGGCACTTTGAGAGGTCTCGGCTATGTGATAAATGCTGTATCAAAGGCAAGGATCATTACTCCTGTAGTGGTTAGTGTGCTTGCCTCACAAGTGGACCCGTGTTTGATTCCCGGGCGCGACAAAACCTTAGGCAAGTTTCTTTACACCACACACCTCTGTTTACCTAGCAGTAAGTAGGAACCTGGTTGTTAGTCAATTGGCTGATCACTCTATGGAGATAATAATTGCTTAAAAAAAGATTGGGTCATTCAATCCACAATTGTTTGTGTGACTCTGGTGTTCTCGAGATTGGCAGCATAATGACTGAAGGCATAGCTGGTAATTGTGGTGGGGGATGTGCATTAGACCTGTGGTTGTTTTCCTCTCTATTAGCTGTGTTGTGTTAGGGCGTGAAAGGATTTATATGAAGTCCATGCACAAGAATTATCGATTTATAATTTTGCTGAATTTTTTTTCTCTCTCTTTAAAGAAATGATGCAGAGTTCCTGAGTTTCAACACTATGGATTGATCTCTGTCGGATCAGAGTTATCTGATATTAAGACCTTTGTGATATTAATGATATCTACCAACCAAACTGCTACCTATGCCCAGTTTAGTTTGCTTTTGGTATTTTTTACTTTAGACTGCCTGCACTTTGTAGTTAAATGTTTATGGGTTGCAGTTTTCAATGTATTAATTAGTTAGTTGTTGGCCCATTTAATTACATGTAATTTTTTTAATGGTGTGCTCAATAGAGTTGAAAATCTTAAAGTGCATAAATTCTTTGGCATTAAACAAAAGGCTCTTATGAAAAATTAGAGCTCCTGTATCATCAGTCTAACATTGAACCAAGAACTGAAGTATATTTAGTCAATTATTTCATAATAAAAGTGTACCTGCACCAAGTAAATGCTGTTGAATTTTTTTCTTGTCTTGGAGACAAATTATCAGTGTTCAAATAGAAAATGGGGTTTCTCTCTCCTGGTGTCCTGGCTAACAATCCCCAGAATAAAATTGGTCATTTACTTTGTGGCTGTTTGTGGGACATTGCTGTGTGCAAATTTGCTGCCACAATCACCCACACGTACAGACACTACTTCACAGTAAATCCTATGAAGTGCTCTGGAATGTCCTCCTGATGTGAAATGTGATATTAATAATAATTCTTGCATTTGGTATGTTGTCAAATTTAAGGGAAATCTTCAATGCCTATGTGAGAGAGAAGGGCATAATATGGGAGGGGCTTGTGTGGAGTATAAACACCAGCACAGACTGGTTGAACTGAATGGCCTGTTTTCACTTTGTGTAATATATGCATTATCAATGCCAGGACTTGACTTTCCAAGTTGAATCCTTCTGTGGCTCTCCCACTAACAGAGTGATATGCATTGCATTTGCTAAGAAGTCTGTGCTAAAATACAATTCCAGTTCCTAATTCAAGGAGGTATTAAGGGAATGAGTGGCACCTGGAATGGAGAAGCAAATTACATTTAAAACCTTTAACCACCACTGTTACACCTGTTAATTACCCTCTGTGCTAAGATGTCACCTAATGTCTGTTCTAAAATTGCTCTTCACGATGTTGAAGCTATGAATATGACCAATTCTCTACTCAGCTTTGAAATAGCAGCACGCTATCTTTCAAAACCTATCTGAATCATAAGACCAATGAGAGCTTAGTTTTAATGATTCATGTGAAAAAGGAATCAATCTGTAATAATCTGATTAATCACATTGCATTATCTCAATTTACTTGAACAAAACATTACTTTTAGGCTTGTAGTCCGGGTCAGTGTTGTCCAACCTTTTTGGTCGGCCAACAAAATTACATTTTCTTGCTTGAATATTTCTTTGTTTATGGCAGCGCTGTGGGAATCGCTGCTCGGTAGTGACTGGAACCGAGGCATTGATTTGGAATGGACTCGCGTGGAATGGTAATAATAATAGTAACAATCCTTGCATTTGATATAGTGCTTTTTCACGTCTTCGAGGCGTCTCAAAGCGCTTCACAGAATAGACTGTAAAGTGAATTGACTGTATATTTGTGGGCGAAACGCGGCAGCCAATTGCGCACAGCAGTGTCCCGCAAACAGTGGTGGGTTGAATGTTTAGTGGGGTCACTGCTTGATGGTGCCACGGTCCACTTCCAGCCGCGGGGCATGGATTGGCCATCACTGGTCCAGTCTTATAATCCAGTGGCGTGAGGCGTTGTCCGATGTGCTGCAGTTCAGATGAAACTTTAACCCGAGGTTCGATCTGCCTGTTCGGGTGGATGGTAAAGATCCCACGGCACTGCCACCTTCACCGACGGAACACAGTCACTACGCCTGACAGTAATCCACGTGAAGTGGCGCGAGATCTCCTCCTGGTTTGAAAGGCGCTCCCGTTCAAACGTCGGGAATATTACTTAGGTTTTTCAGTTGTGAAAAGGCGACGACGTCCGCGTTTGAACGCGGCGGCGGCGGCGTCCAACCCCCCCCACCGCGAACAGCAAAATCTGCCCACGACACGGCAACGAATGAAATAAAACCGGGGCACAAAATGGCACTTTGCGGCGAGTATCGAAACAAACCGTCCACATTCGCCTCAAACCCACGTCAGTGACTGTCGGCGGACAAAAATAACATTCCCCTTTAAGTGAAAATCCAGGTACTTTAATGATCCTTTCCTACGCATGCGTCGGCCTCGCCAGGCCCGCACCGTCCACTCCCCCCTCTCCAGCGAGGGGTGTCCCGTGTTTGAAAAGTGGCGCATCTGTCCACGCGGCGGCCGTTCACGTGAAGGGAGCAGCAAAGGCAGCGTTGGCCGAACATTACCTCAAGCGACGAATACTTTCGCGCGTGTTGAGATCGATCGAAGCGCTCCGAAAAGAGGTGTAAATTCGTCAATCGCACCGCAAACCCCCCCCTCCCGTCCACTGCCATTGCGCGCGGAGACAATTGGACTGGCCCGAAACGGCGCACGCGCAGGGGCGGCCGCTATATAAAAGAGAGGGAGGGCGGTTTAACGGTCGCGTGTTCGATCGCGGCTTTCGAAAGGCGGCGGCGGCGTCGTCGGAGCGAGCGCGCGCGCGCTTCAAACGGTAACGGTCACTCCGCGCGCATGGCGTGGGCTCCGTTGACGAACCGACACCGACAATCATAAAAAGGACACGACCGGCATCAGCCGCGGCAGCGATGAGCTCGACGGGCGGCGGCGGCGGGTTGCCTCCCTCGGGCGTCCGCATGCCCTTCCAGGTGACCCGGGTGGACCCTGCCCGCCAGGGCTCGGTACTGGTGCGGCTGTGGGGCCGCTTCCACCGGGAAAGGCAGCTCGAGTACCAGCGGCTCCACGACGAGATTCAGAACTGGGTGAAGGGCGTTGGTGACGGCGGAGCAGGAGGGGCGGCGGCGGCTGCCGGGCGCGACCCCCCGACCCCTCCCTTGGAAACCAACGAGCGCTGCCTGGCCGAGATGAACGGCGAGTGGCACCGGGCGCGGGTGGTGAGCCGCGCCGGCGACGACTACACAGTTTTCACGCTGGACGAAGGGAGGGCGACGGCGGTGCGAGGCCGCGGCCTGGAGCGAGGTAAGAAGGACTTTTTCCAGCTGCCCCCCGAGGCGGTCTGCTGTATCCTGGCCAACCTGGTGCCGCCGGGGGGCGCCGAGAAGGAGAAGCCGAAGCCGAAGCCGCCCGAGGGGGAGGAGGAAGAGGCGGTGCCCGGGGCGGTGGACGGGCAACCGGAGGAGGACGAGGATGAAGAAGGGAGCGGGGCCAAGCCGACCTGTTGGCCCCCGAGCGCCTTGTCCTTCCTCCGCTCGCTGCAGGGACGCGAGCTGGACGGTTACGTGGACGCGGTGCTGCCCAATCGCCTGGTGCTGCTCGACGTGCCCCGGGTGTCCCGGCAGCTGTGCGAGTCGGGCTTGGCCAAGGTGATCGGCCGCACGGCTTTCCGTCTGTTGGTGGAGATGTCCACGTCCAGACCGGCCACCGTGGGCCGGAGGGAGAGTCGGCTCCTGCTGGCGGCGGCGGCGGCGGGTGGTGGCGGCGGGGCTGAGATCGGGGCAGGTGCGGCGGGCACCGGCCGGGGCCACTGGCTTTGCCGCCTCCTCCTCCTCCTCCTCCTCCACCGCCAGCGCCCCCTAGCGACGCCAGTTACAGCCTCAACTACTTCTACCCGCTGCTGCAGGTGGATGAGACCGTGACGGTGACCGTGCGGGTGACCCACGTGCGCTACCCGGACCGCTTCTTCTGCCAGCTCCGCTGCCACTGCCCCGAGCTGGAGCGGCTGCACCTCAGCATGCATCGTTACTACGAGAGCAGCCGGGTCAGCGGCACCGGCACAGCGCCCAGGAAGCTGGGTTCCCCCTGCGCGGCCAAGAGCCTGGACGGCCGGTGGTACCGAGCCGTGGTCCAGCAGACCCTGTCCGATCGCGGGGTCGAGGTCTTCTTGGTGGACTACGGCAACAAGGAGGTGGTATCCTCCTGCAGCATCAGGAAGCTCAGCCCCGGCTACTTCAAGATGCCCGTCGTGACTTACCCGTTCGCTTTGCGCGAAGCTTCCGACTACGGCAGGGGTTGGTCCGCCAAACAGATTGAGCTGCTGCACACGCTGATCATTAACAAAGTTCTCCAGGCCAAGATCGAGTTCTACAACTCGGTGGAAAATGTCTATTATGTAACTTTATACCGAGAAGATGGCTCCACCATCAACGCAGCCTTCAATGCCCAGGTGGAGAGTGTAAATTACGAGCGAGTGATTGGATACTGCGAGGATAACGAGCTTCGGGGAGAGTATCAGAAAATAAACGCTCTTCACTGCAGTGGAGACTACTTCACTGGGGACCGAAGGACTGAAGGCCTCTCCAAAACTAAAGACCGTATCTCCTATCTCAGTATGCTGTTGGGGGCGAGTCTGCTGAAGAATGCAAACCTGAAACTCAATGCCTTCTATGATGCCCTGGTTGAGTTTGTAAAAGATCCTACAGAATTTTGGATTAGGACCATGGACACAGCCAGTGAGTTTGAAAAACTAATGAACAGCATTGCCAAGAAGTATGGACCTTTGGGCCGAAATGAAGGACTGGTAAAGAAACCTGAACCAGGATTGTTATGTTGTGCAAAATTTAAAGCTGATCATTTATATTATAGGGCTGTTATTACTGAGATACTTGATGGCCAGTTCAGGGTATTTTTCATTGATTATGGAAACCTGGAACTAGTGGATTGGCATGATGTTAAGGCACTGCTTCCTGAATATCGAAAGCTTCCTGCTTTGGCTGTGAAGTGTTGTCTTGCTGACCTTGTTCCCAAAGAAGCAACGTGGAGTAAAGAAGCTATTGCCTACTTTGAGAAGGTGGTGTTTGAAAAACACCTTGTTGTCCATGTTTTAGACAAAGAAATGGATAAATACTTGATTGAACTGCTTGATGTGGAAGATGAGGGAGAACCTAGTGTGAACAAGATAATGTTGCAGGAAGGTTATGCTGATCAAAAAGCTTTAAAAGTCTCTCATTTCAGTTCAAAGACCTTGTTTTCATTGGACCACATACATATTTCAAATCCGTCTTCTGAAGAAATTGCTCACACTTATGGCAGAAGCAAAAAAACAAGATTTGAGGAAAGACCAATAACGCCTGAAAAGTTTGCACCATGCATGGAATATCCCTGTTCAACAGAGGACTCTAATGATTGTCTAGCCACAGTACTTTCTAATATGCCATATAAAATTTCCAGTCATGGAGAAATTGAAACTGGAGATACTAGAACACAAAATATTGCTGTGATGGACTCTGCAATCACAGAGTCTCCATATAAACAAGAGTACCTTAAAGTTGGAAGCACAGTAGATGTACAGGTTTCCTACATTGATGAACCTGGTGACTTTTGGTGTCAACTGACTAAAAACGCACATGAACTAAAAATGCTCATGAGTAAAATCCAGGAATATTATAATACACATGCAGATCATTCTCAGCCTTGTCAATCTGCTTGCATTGCAAAGTACTCTGAAGATGGGAAATGGTACAGAGCTCTGATCCTTGGAAAAGTGTCAGCACTAGAAGTTGATGTTTTGTATGTTGATTATGGGAATAGAGAGAGAGTGTCTTTCAGTGACTTGTGTGCAATAAGGCCAGAATTTCTTCTTTTAAAAGGGCAGGCATTTAGATGTAGTCTTTATAATATAATCCAGCCTATGGGTTCTGATCCATTCATGTGGAATGTAGATTCAGTTGCTGCCTTCCAGGAGTTTATTGATAGTGCCCTTAGTTTGTATATGGAGCTCAAATGCACAGTCTATGCACTGACTATTGTGGATGGTAAAGGGCTATGTAATGTTGTGGATTTGAATACTCCTTTTCAGAGTGCTTGCCAATTACTTATTGAGAGAGGATTAGCCAAATTTGTAGGATCACCTAGTGTTCTTGCTCCATCAGTAAACCTTTATACCTATTACTATTCAACTCATGATGTGAAAATTGGCAGTGAAGAAGAAATGTATGTCAGTCATGTGACAAGCCCAACAAAATTCTACTGTTTACTGAGTAGAAATCTAGATATTGTAGATAAACTTGCAGATAAGGTTAATAAGTTGTCTTGTAAATTGCCAGATTACAAGTTTTCCCAGGGTGTAGATCCCATCTGTCTTGCAAAGTATACTGATAATCAATGGTATCGAGCTTTGGCATGGCCCATACAGGACCGCATTCGAGTCTCTTTTGTAGATTATGGAAATAAGCTGGATGTTGACAAAGATGACTTGCTTCCTATTCCTGATAGTGCAAGAGATGTTAAATTTTTACCAATGCAAGCAATTAAGTGTGGTCTGTCAGATATTCCAGCTGAGCTGTCCCTTGACATTAATACCTGGTTTAGAAAAGCTGTGACTGATAAACCTTTAAAAGCTGTGGTAGTAGCAAAAGAGTCTGATGGAAAACTGATTGTTGAGCTTTACGATGGGAATGTGCAAATTAATGCAAAGATTAAAGAGCAGCTATACTTGCAGGGAACCAGTGAAGCAAAAACAATGAATGGAAATTCAGGGAGACAAAAGATTAAAAGTGAAAAGTTATGCTCCACTTTTATGGTGAAGAGTGACCATGAACCATCCCTTCTTAAAAGACGGATTATTGAGGATCAAGATGAGGTGCATGAAGCTGAAAAGGCAGCCGTATCTAGCCACACGCAAGATAGATGGAAAAATAGAACCGAGATTTTTATTGTTGAGAATGTTGAGGCTGAGTTGAAGTGTGCTCCCAACATGGACTTAAAGAATGTGAAAGAATTTTCCGATGTAAAATCTAATGTGGAAACGAGGAACAACAAATCTGTGAAAAGTAATGTTGAAAAAACAAGTTTTAGTAAATTAGGGTTTGATACTTCAAAATTACCTTTGCCTAAAGAGATTGATATTCCTCTGATAACATTAAAGCCTGGATTTAAATGTGAGGCACGCATTTCACATGTTGTTAGTCCATCACATTTCTTTGTTCATCTTTCCCAACATGATGATAAAGTAACTATGATGGAAGAAAAATTGAATGCATCTTGGGCTAATGATACAGAAGTTGAATGCTTTCAATATGAAAGTTTGCAGTTAGGTGATATGGTCTGTGCAGAATCTCCTGAAGATGGTTCTCATTATAGGTCTGTGGTAACTCNAAAAATTGCCAATAATTTAGTTGGTGTGGAATTCATAGACTATGGGAACACAGTTAACGTACAACCATCAAAAATCCATCGTCTTTCTAAAGAGGCTATGGAGGTACAGCGGCTCAGTGTACCATGCTTCATTAGTGGTGTTCAGGACACACTTTCAACAGGTTACAGTATTGAACTTGTTTCTGCCTTCAAAAAGAGAGCGAATGGAATAATGTGTGAATTTATTAAACTACATGGACAGTTATGGGAGGTTCAACTTTGTGATGACCAGGGTACAGTAGCAAACCTATTAGAGGATACCTTGTGTGAACAATACACACTAAATTCGCAGCAGGAAAGTGGATGTTCTATAACTGATATAAGGCCTGGTTCAAAGCTTAATGCATATGTCTTTGCTATAAAATCTCCTAATCAGTTCTGGTGCCAGTTTATGACTACAGCTGATGGTATTTTCATTGAATCCCTTCAGAAAGCTAAAGGTGAGCGCTGTAAAATGAGGTCTGAAGATATTATGGATCTTAAGGTTGGAAATGTATGTATGGTGAAAAGTAAAGGTTTTCTTAATTGGGCAACATGTGAAATTGTTGATATATGCAATGGAGGTATTGAGGTAGTATTTATGAAGGAGGACAGCAAGGAATTGGTAAACCCAGAAGATGTAAAAGAAGTAACTCCTGCGTTTGCACTAACCTATGAATGCAAGTTGCACAGATTGTTTCCTTTTAATGGAAGTAATTGGTCTCAAAAGGCCATTGAATTCTTTAAAACCTTAGTTTTGTATAAAAGAGTACTAATAAAAGTGATTAATATGTCAAAGCCAAATATATTGGAGGTGGATATTTATGTGAACTTGGATAATGCTGTCAGAGACCAATTAACTGCTTCAGAATTAGCTGTTGAGAAGGACGAGAGTAATACAACAACATATGGGCGATATATCAGGAAAATCCCTTTAGTGGGACAAACGATTGAAGGGTATGTTACTGCAGCAGAAAGTCCTAGCTATTTCTGGTGTCAGTATTCAGCTTCTGAAATTCAAATGTTGGCTGAAAAAATGCAAGAACTAGGAAAACGTGAAGACACTGGAACAAAATTGTCATCAATTTCAGTTGGTGACAGCTGTTTTTGCAAGTACTCTGAAGATGAACAGTTTTATAGAGCTGAAGTAAAAAAGACAAATAGCAACATTCTTTCCCTGAACTATGTTGATTATGGGAATGAAGAAGATGTTGAAAGAGAACAAGTTAGAAAACTGCCTGAGGAGTTACTAAAAATTCCTGTTCAGGCCTTTCCTTGCTGCCTTTCTGGGTATGATTTGTCTGAAGGTTCTTGGAAAGATGGTGCAGTGGGTGATTTCCTTCATCTTCTTTCAGACCAGCTATTGAAAATTACAGCACTAAAAAATGAGTGTGGAAAAGGCAACGTACCATTTGTGCTTCATGTCCAAATTGAGAGTAGTAGTGGTATAATTAATGATACAGTGAAAACCCTGTGGAAGCCCCATACTGATAAACATAACAACAGCAATTTATGTGATGAAAAGAAGTTGCCGGCTGATCAATCTCTCTCTTTGCAAAGTCTCCATAATGACAAAAACCTAGAAGCTAAATTGATGGAGGATATAATTCCAAATGCAGCTTGCCCTGAAAGGCTGAATGCAGAAGAGTTAGTACAGTTTCGAATGGATGACCATGGTGAAGAGATGGATGGTAATAGTCCTGCAACATATTTGGTTGAAGAGAAAGTTGAAGCCCAAGAGAATAGTGAATCTGAAGTTGATCTTCAATTTCAAAAACTTGGAGATGAAACAGATAATGAAGTACAAATACTAAAGCTCTCAGAGAGCCATAGCTCTTCTGTGCCTGGTTCATTTCTTATTGCTGACAATCTTGAGATGACTGTGATTGACCAGCTTGAAGGTCCTGCTTCATCTTCATGCCCAAATGATTGGATACCTACTATGCAGGCATATATGGATCAATGCTTGTCAAGCAGTCAGACTAAAGATGCAGACCTTGAAAATGCAAACTTCTCTTTGCAACCAGTGAAACACAAAATGCGTGACAATTTAGAGGATTCTAGTCAAACTATTGATCTATACGAAGAGATTTTTAAATGCCAAAATGACCAACCTTTTATGGAAGATACTGGTGATGATTCTATGACTCGCCTTCTCATCTCCCAAGATGAAGATTCTGAAGATCAAAATTTACCAGAAACTCAGATGGTCGGCAGTGAAACAGAGCACTTTGAGACAGGCGAGTAAATCAGCAATGTTAATAACTTTAAAAGCTTTTGGATAAAGGATGGTTGCATCTGGGTAGAGTGGAGTTTTTTTTAATTAAAGAGTCCTGTAGCATATTTTCCTATTTAACCCTATTTTCTACCAGCTTTGCCACAGAATTGTAACAATACGGTTTAAGTTTCATGCAGGACTTACTGCAGCAGCTTCATCTTGGGTGTTTTAACAATGTTGTTAAAATAACAAGTGTGACTTTTTTGTTCAGCTGTAGTAAAAGGTTGTTTACAAATTGATAGCATTTTTGACTCTAAAAATGTATTTGATAGTGCTTCATAGCAATTTCCTGGATGTCATTACCATAGACAAACATTTTGTGAGGTTTCCCAAAACATACCTTAAATGCTCATATGGGTTCTAATTATAATGAAGACCTGAACAGGTATGATGACTATTACAGATAATTTGACCGCATTAAGGTTGAGAATATGGAATATTTTCTCTGAAATGTAACATCGAGGGTGGGTGTGATGGGGGTCACGGAGCCTGGTGCGGGAAAGGACATGAGCTAAGTTCTTGATGATTTGCAGCCTGCGGAGGGAAGAGTTGGGAAGGCTGACAAGCAAGGAGTTTGCAGCATTGTCAAGCAGGACATTAGCATAGTCCAGCCTGGATGTAATGGATGTGAATAACTGCTTGCCTGCCTGCCTCCCTCCCTCCTTCCTCTTTGGTATTGAAGAAAGCATCCTACCATTGATTTATTATATACTGAGTTTGAACGTATGCTTTGCTGTTCCCAATCACCTTGAAATGTTTTGGTACCTTTAAATGAAAAGTGTGTACCTGAATATTGCAATAATGAAAATGGGTGAGATCTACTTGAAGGATAATCTACATGCAATTTGCATTATTTGGCCCTGAACTATAAATGACAAGTAATACTTCTGATGTTTTTTCCTTTACAGAACAATTAGTTGTAACTGAGAAGGATGATGCTGAGAAAGAAGATTGCATTCCTGTAGAATCCTCATTAATTACTTCAGTTAACACTGGCATGGAAGAAGGTATGAAAACTAATTTTCTGCCACGGCAATATTCTGTGTTCCTTGTAGCTCAACATTACAAACTACATATGTTCTTTATTGGTTGTGTGCTGCATCTCTTGGCTATAAGGTAAGATTTGCACTTGACAAATTAAGGCGCTTTGACTGAAACCCTTTCTTGATAATTAGCACTATGTTAAGCTGATTTTCATTGAATAGTTTTGTCTATTTATAACGTATTAAATTTGTGGAGATGAGCAGGTTGCTGTTGTTGCCTTCTGATCCTCACCATAGGTTTTCAACCATTCTTATATTTCAAGCCTTAAAATAATGAAGGGTATGGTTCTAGAATGGTTAACCTGCTCATAGCTTCTGTAGACATGGAAAGTGGGTGACACTTACTTACAAATTAACTTGTCCTTTTGAAGTTTTTATGACTTGCCTAAGAGCTGCATATCTATTATAAGTGTATGCCTTTGTGTGTTGGATGGATTCTGGCATTGAGTAAATCTTCCTTGGATTCAAGGGTCTTGTGGTGTTGGGTGTTCTTCAAACCGATAATGTAATTCTCTGAGCCTGCTAAGCAACAACAACAACTTGGATTTATATAGCACCCTCCATGTCAGACGGCATCTCAGAGCGCTTCACAGTAAGGAATCCTGGGGCCGAGCCAGCGGGAGGAAGGTGACCAAAGGCACGGTCAAAAAGAAAGGTCTTCAGGAGGGACCTGAAAGTAGGAAGAGAGGGGGTGAGGTGAAGGGAGTGAGGAAAGGAATTCCAGAGCCTCGGGGCATAGTGGCTGAAGGCACGGCTGCCGAGGGTGGAGCGGAGGACTCGGGATGAGGAGGAGGCCAGACCCGGAGGATCGAAGGCAACGGGTACTGTTTTGAGGAGAGAGGAGGTCAGAGAGGTAGGGAGGTGCAGAGGCGTGGAGGGATTTGAATACAAGGGTGAGGATCTTGAAATCGATCCTCTCTGGGATAGACAGCCAGTGCAGTCTGGCAAGGACTGGGGTGATCGGGGAGCAGAGTTTGGTGCTGGTGAGAATGGAGGCGGCAGAGTTTTGGATGATTTGGATTTTATGGATGGTGGTGGATGGGAGACCGGCGAGGAGGGCGTTGGAATAGTCCAGCCGAGAGGTGACAGACATAGACCAGGGCTTCAGCGGCTTTCGGAGAGAGGTATTTGCGGAGATGGGCATGCGATGGAGGTGGAAGAAGGTGGTGCTGGTGAGGGACTGGATGTGGGGGAGGAAGGACTATTGGGGGTTGAACCTGACGCCAAGGTTGCGTACTGGTTCGGAGAGTTTTAGGAGGAGGTCGGGTAGGTGGAGGAGGTGAGAGCCGTGGGATTTGAGACGTAGACGAGAGCCAAAGAGTTTGGCTTCCGTCTTGTCGACGTTGAGTTGAAGAACATTTGCAGGGCTCCTGTGATGCAGTCCTTGGAGAACACTAAAGTTACTGTTGCCTGAATCCTAGGAACATTGTTTCTGATCATTGTCCATACAGTAATTTGTTGCAGTACAGACCTGGTTGTAACTGAATAATTTACAGTCAAGTGCAGACATATCCTGCTCTGTCCCGACCCAGCTATTGTTCAGGAAGCAGTTCACTAAAGATAATCTCTTTCTACCAGTTTGCTGACCAGATTTTTGAGTGCACTTAGCTTAGGTTCCTGAATTGAATGATTCACACTGTCGAAATTTGTCCATTTTAGAATTCTATCAAATTCAAATGGCTACTGGGGCACCCTAAATTATTTTGTGCCCTATTGATTTGTCTCCAGATTACCTTAGTGTTTCTATTGATATCAGTATTGATATTCACTGAGACCCTCATCCATGCATCACATCCAGCCTTAACGCTGCAAAACTCTGCTCGGAGATTACCCAACTCTGCCTTACACACGCTGCAGATTATTCAGGACTCTACAGGTTATGTTCTTTCCTACACCAGACTGTGAGCCTATCGCTATACTTGTCTGCCTCTATTTGCTCCCATCCCCGGTGGATCAAGTTCAAGATCCTTATTCTCACCTTTAAATCCCTCCTCCCTGTCATACCTCTGCGATCTCCTCAAACCCTACCGAGTTGCGCTCCGCCCCCCTTTTGCTCAGCAGGCACCAGCCTACTTCATGCCCCTGCCCACTATCTCTGGAATTCAATCCCAGAGTCCCTCTGAGTTTCTCCCTCATTCACATTGTTCAAAGTCCATCTCAAGACTGATCTCTTGGAGCACACTTTTGGTTATCGTTCCTCTACCCATCTTTAACTCTGGTGCTAAGCAGTTATTGTTGAGTGCTTTGGGGTCTCTTTGCAAAGCGAAAGGTGCTATATAATACAAAATTGTATTGGTAGTAGCTTTGGAATTAATCCTGGCCACTTCCCTCCCAGGGACTAGTGCATATTCAAAGGTTTTCAAATGGAATTGTATCTTGGTGTTGAAATTTTAGATTATTTTTCAATAACCTATACTTGCAATTTTTTAATAGGAACACTGTTGGTACATAACAAGTTTGATTTAGATTCAACTTGTGTGGAAGTTGACGAAGAAAATAATCAGCACACCACTAATTCAAGCTATACAAATGCTACTTTTGATGACTCCATGAAGAAAATTATTAGCCATGAAGTTCAGGGTGACCAAGGAGGCAGCTTGGTGCTGTGTTCAGATGCTGCCAACACTGTTGCTGGTGATGAAACACATTTTCAACAGTTCAGCTCTGATGCCAGCGAAGTGATCTGTGATAAACTATTTCTGTCTACCACTTCAGAAAATGTTGCAGAGAAAAATCAGTTGAAAACCCTGTATACATTTTCAACACCAGACAAAGTGAGTGATTCTGGAAGTGTGTCAGCCAATAAAAATGTACATGTTAATATTGAGGTTGCAGTAGAAGATTCAATTCCAGTGGAACCTGTGAATCCCTTGCAGGATTAAGGTCAGCAAAATTCTAATTTTAAAGGAAGACCTACAGGTAGCTATTCCTGATCCTGAGATCTTGTGTAATAGTATTATGCATACAAAATATTGCCCAGACTAGGAAATAACCGCTTCAATTAGTCCCCATATACTCTTGATATTAACCAGGTGCCAAGGAAAGAGTTGCAACACCTGATTTTAATTTGGGGTATCTGCAGCATTTCAGCCTAAGGGAGTTTTTAAGGCTAAGATTTAGTAACCTGTTTGATGTACCAAAGAATTTAAGATGCATATTGGAAAGCAAGATTGCTTTCTTTTTTTACTGCTGTCATGAAGGTACATTCATCAGGGGAAAAACACTTTTAAAAAGGATTCAAGGCCTACTACATAGAATTGAAAAGTTTCTGTTTGTGCTAAATAGTTTGAAATGACAATATTTCATCTAAGGATGAGCATAGATGCTCATAAGTTTATAAAAATTGATAAACAAACCTCTTAAGAAACAAACTTTGAACGTGAGTGAAACCTGATCACTATGCAAGAATGCAAATACCTTGAATTTTCTGCATGCATGACAGTTAATTTGTGATTCCTGGAAAATCCTTTCTTCACAAAGTATTTAAATGATGGATTGTACTGCAAGTCTTAAACAACTGCTATATACCAGAACCAAGTGGCGGATTGTCCTCAAAAGCATTAGCTTTCTATGTACAATGAAAATGTATTGCCAAACATGATTGTTCATTTATTAAAATGACAAATAAAAGCCTCTTTACGCAGAACACTGATTTGTGTAGACCAATGAAATGCAAGATTCACACCATATATGTACAAGTCTGGGTATTCTATTAACTCTTTCTACACTCCCCACCGCCCCATCCCCATGTGCTTCAAAATAGTGAAATAAAATCTCACAGTATGCAGAAATTCAATTGTAACGATACTGGGTTTATTTCATGCTAGGAATAATAATGAATGGAGTCCCATAGCTTAGTGGTAAAGCACTTGCCTCATAAGCGAGAGGATCTGGGTTGATTCCCAGGTAGGGTGAAACGTTGGGAAAGTTTCCTTACTCCACGGGCCTCTGTTTACAGAGCAGTAAGTAGGAACCCTGTTAGTTGATTGGCAGATCGCTTTTCCAGGGTAATAATCTCAAAACAAAATTGGTCACTCAATCCACGACTGTTTGTGGGACACTGCTGTGCGTAATTGGCTGTGTTTTGCCACAAAGTATAGTGTCGATTAACTACTATATATTCTGTGAAGGGGTTGTATAACAAATGAGCAGACGACCTACAACACTTAAATATCTTCCACTAAACAAACAGGACTAAAGTGAATATTTTTACTCCTAGCTAGTTTCCAAGTTTGGCAAGGTTTGATTATAATACTATTGAAAGCTTGCAACATTTATAAAGCGCTGGAATTTCACCTGAATGGAATCCAATATAAATCCTCAACGTGTTATTTTAGGGATTAATTCCATATACAAACGTAACCCTATTTTCCAACCTTTGAATAATACACAAGTCAAGTGATTCAGAGTTTGGCAAAGAAATTACCACAGAATGTACACAAGCAGGCTTTCCAATCCTTAGGATTACTGTTACAAGAGCTGCTAAGAAAGATGGTAGGAACCATAGAGCAAGAGAGAGAGCTGGGGATTTAGATCCAAAATTTCTAAAAGTTACTTCATGGTTGATAAAATATATTTTTTTAAAAAGTCAATGGAGTTTTATCAGGATAGGTTGGGCCTTTTTTGCAAGAGATGTTTAAGAGGGGACCTAAGAGTTGTTTGAAATTATAAAAGGGTTCAATACGGTTAACATAAATAGGATGTTCACTGGTTGGGGATAATTTAATAATTTGGTCACTCCATGACTGTAGGGTACTGCTATGCGTAATTGGCTGCCATGTTTCACCCACAAAATAGTCAATTCACTTTACGCTATATTCTGTGAAGCGCTTTGAGACGTCTTGACAACGTGATAAGATGTTATATCAAATGCAAGGATTATTATTAATCTAGGATTTATTTTTGTAAAAAAACGCTGACCATCATAATCACTTTACAAAAAGGATAATGGGGAGATATATACATACAGGTTGCTAACCAGCGTCACCTGCCATCTCCAAGGTCAGGATGCACCTGCAGCCAGACATGAGACTGTTACTGGAGAAACCCTTTTAAAAATAAAGCTTCCACACTACACTTGTGCAACTTTGTGTCTAGTATTGCTTTTTCTCCTGTTGGTGCACTGATTTTAATGGAATTTTCCTATCAATATATCTCTTCAATGTTTAGATACCCCAGCAGCTGACCCAGTGGGTAAAGGTTCAACACTTAACATTTGTGTAACACTAAGGCTTGCAGATGAAATGCTAACAAGTTTGTTAGCTAGCTACTGTCAAATGGTCTAGCAGTTAGTAGCCTACTATTGCAGGTGCTGTCTTTTGGATGAGTTGGTAAACTGAGGCTCCACTTATCTGTTGAGGTGGACCTTAAACAACAAATTACATTTGTATAGAGCCTTTCACATAAGGAGGACGCCCAAAGCCCTGAACAATCAGGGATCCGCACCCAGGCTGGTGGTTGGGATCAGGAGGGATGGAGGGTAGGGGTAGGAGGGTGACCAAAGGCACGGTCGAAGAGGAGGGTCTTGAAGGAGGCAACGGAGGGGGCAAGGCGGAGGGACTGTGGGATGGAGTTCCAGAGGGTGCAGATGTAGAGGCTGAAGGGCCACCCGCTAATGGTGGGGCGGGCAAGGCGGGGACGTGAAGAAAGCTGGAGATCCTTTGGCATATTTTCAAAAAAGGAAGTTTCTTCTGGTGTCGTGAACGACAATCCCCAGATAAATATGATTATTCATTTCAATGGCTGTTTGCAAAATTCGCTGCCACCTTTGCCCGAAAACACAGTTACTGTACTTTACAAGTGCTCTGGGACATCCTGCTGACATGAAATGCACACCAAATTCTACACTAAATGCAAGGATTGTTATTCATTATTATTGCCTTCGACAGACGAGGCATATATAAAATAAATCAGGTTTCTGCCAATGTTGAACGTGCACAGGAATAGGCTTGACTAGTGCTCACTCTGGTCAAACGGCTTGCTGCCTCTCAAGCCTAACATGAACTGAGCACCTGCCATCCATGGGAAGTTAAAATAAATGTCTTCAGGAAGAGCAGGGATGAAAAATTGGAGAATTGGTGGAAAAACTAAAACAGATTTCAAACTATCGAGGTGATCGTATGTTGAGATATCAATAACTTTTTATATGTGACAAAAAAAAAGCATTCTACACATTCAGAAGAAAAAATGTTTAATTGAACAAAGCACCCAAACACTACACTTTGAAAACTTATGAGTGAAATATTAAGTTGATACTCTGTATCTAAATAAACAGCAAATTTTGTAATGGCTGAATTTTTCAGATTCCTGTTTAAACCTTTGAACCATTAATTGAAAGGCTGCCACATTTTATAATGTGCATCGAGAGCTTTTATGTTCCACTGATTCAAGGTGCATAGTCTAACTAGTGTAAGCTGGTATCCTGAACAACTTAACATTGGGGGCACTGCTTAAAAAAAGTTGGCACTGCATATTTCTGCAGCTCGTAGATTAGGTCATTTTTAAACTGTTTTAAAATTTTATAAAGTTAAATGGCCTACATACCATCACTCAATACTAATGATGGAAAAGAGCTTAAGGTCCTGTCAGTATCCAAGCATTATCCATCAGCTGAACACTGCATGATACTGTAGATCACTGCTCACATATGCAGCATAACTGCAGCTCCTCAAATCTTTTGAAAGTTATATTAAACTAATTAGATGAAAATATTCGGATCAGTCAATTCTAATAGACAAACTTATTTGCTAAAAGCAAAATTCTGCAGATGTTGGAAATCTGAAAACAAAAACAGAAGTCACTGGGAACACTCAGCAGGTCAGGCAGCATGTATGGAGAAAGGAAAGTGAGTCAATGTTTCGGGTCCACGACCCTTCATCAGAACTCACTTTCCTTTCTCTGTAGATGCTGCCTGACCTGTTGATCGTTCCCCATGACTTCTGCTTGGTATTCAAACTTATTTGCTAAACTTACATGGTTGTCACACTGGCAACTGGCATTTAATTCACTCTCTTCAGCATAAATCCAGCCAGCACAAAATTCCTAGACTAACACAATTTACATGTTCCTCTGGAATCTTACTTTGTCCCACACCTTCTGGAATTGAAAATCTGAGGGTGCATTCAAGTGTTGTTTGCTCCAGTACATCATCTAGAGACTACACAACATGGAGTCTGATCAACCTCATTGCGCTCAGAAGTGTGATAAGGTTGATGTGTGTACGTAATGCATAATATTTTTAATAATAATAATCATCTTTGCATTTGGTATAGCGCTTTTCACGTCTTCAAGAGTCTCAAAGCACTTCACAGAATATACTTATTATCAGGCGTGCAGTATAAGGAAACTTGCCCAAGGCTTCGCCCTGCCAGGAATCGAACCCAGGTGCTCTAACCACTGAGGTACAAGATTCCACAATATTTTGTGTGGAAGTGAAGATTTAGTAGTGTCTAATTCACTCAGCCAGAGGTTATATTGTTAAGCTGTTTTGGAGTATTACAAAAAAAAGTGTTGAACATTGCAAGTGACCTCAAATTTCACCCACAAAATATAGTTAATTCACTTTACAGTATATTCTGTGAAGTGCTTCGAGACATCTAGAAGACATGATAAGGTTCTATATCAAATACAAGGATTAATATTATTTCTGAAAGTTCACTAACTATTATTTTGCCTTTGTAGTTCCTGAGTACACGCTTTAATAAATCAGTGAATTGTTTTTAATTTTCATAAAAAAAGACCTTGCACATTTGTTTATCCCTTTGTGATGGAGCAGTATGATGAGGGTTGCATTCTCTGCCACAGGTAGGACAATGAGTTCAGAATGAGAGTAACCAAATGGGAGTAATACAAATTAAGTTGTTTGCAAAACAGAATCATCTAATATGTCCATACAACTCAAATTACTGTATATCCTATTTCTGTCTCCAGACTTCTTTCTCAATACACAAAAACCCTTCAATTAAGAATGAATTTATATTCTAAATTGCAACAGTAGTGAGGACATATTCTGGTTGCAGTCTGGCTACAAAGTGAAAACCTAATAAAAAGACAAGTATAAGATCTTATTGTTGTATCTTTGAACATTTGTGTAATGGCAAAATATCCATTCCAATATTTAACTAGTCAATGTTAAACACTATATGAATTATTGCATAATATTGTTAATGTTTTGTTTAGAAAAATACAAATTTTAATTAAGGCTACCCATCTTGGAGTTCACTTATTTAAAACCCATGTTTAGAAGCATGTTGTATCTATAACTTGGATATCAGTATTCATCTAAAAAGATATATGAATTTACATACAGGAAACATAAAATGGAACAAGAATGATTATGGAGGTAATGTGTGCGTATGGCTGATTTTATTTGTGTGCTTTTTAGAATTACGGAGAGTTAAAAGTTTAGGCTATGCTAAACAATAGTATGTGGTTAGTACCATATGGTCAGTGTTTGCTCAATGGAAGCAAAGGAAGATTTGTGCCTGGTATCACATGGTCTCCTATCCCATCAATGAGAGGGTCCCACTGGTCAAAACTTTTTTCAAGACCTGAAAAATAACATTTTATAGTTAAATATCAAAGCAAATATTACTTCAGCTAGCTTTTCTTTCTTCCCTTGCATCCCTCCTGGTGAAATGTAACATGTATTTAAATAGTGCTCTTCACAACGTCTTGGAGCTGCTTACAGGGACCAGGTTGGACACTGAGCAAGGGAGAGAGGGAGGTGGTCATAGGCAAGTTCCAAGAGGCAGGATTTGAGACGGGACAGAAAGAGAAGGGGCAAGACACTGGCTAGTCACCACCACTTAAGTAGCCATGTTGTCAATATCCCAGCCACTTCCCATGTAAAATGTTCATAAGGGCACTCGTCTTACTGTCACTCCGCTTAACATGTAGCTAGTCATGTACTAGAAAGTACTTACAATGTGACATTCATCGGATAACTAATTCTACAAGATGGTGTCTTGCATCGCAGTGGCCTCCTGCCCTCTGCTGTGCCTAGTGCGGGCGTTCGGAGGACGTCGGGAGCTCATGTTCAGATGCATCGCAAAGGCCTCTGGTTTATTGGAGGCCATGCCGTGGCTTCCCGCCTGCCTGCTTCCTGCCCTGTCCTGTGACAAGATAGGGTGTGAGGCCATGGCGCAGCTCTCCAATAGACCAGAGGCCTTTGTGACAGGATAGGGCGTGAGGCCATGGCATGGCCCTCCAATAGACCAGAGGCCTCTGCAATACATCTGAGAATGACCACCGAACATCCGCCAAGTGCACCCCACCAGTCATAGCTGCCTGTGGCCCAGGAGGATCTTTGCCTAACTACCACTTAACTAGTCGCTGAGCCCCTTTCCTTTGGAGTGACGAGTTATCAGGAGTTTACTGTAGGTCTGTATTACATTTAGCATCCTGAATGAACCCATCTGACCATCATCATTCACTATCTCCCCACTAGATAACTTCAGTCCATTATTTTTGGCCCATGGAATTAGCAAAGGAATTAAAAATGACTAAATTCAGGGGTTACATTCCAATAACAAATGCACTTTTAATCAACTTACCCAAGTGCCTCTGCAGGAATGCTAAAGAAGCTTTGTCACTAATGTCTACAGCCATTTCAGGATCTGTTGTTCCCTTTAATCCAAATAACTTTCCAAGGAAGGAACCAGTCAAAAAAGTGAAATCAGGGAAGCTTTGATGTACTGTTCCCCTAGAAAGAAATTAATATACACTGAATTCAATTACTCTTTATCATAGCTTGTGTAGAAATTAAGTTAGCTTTAAGAACGTAGCTCAGTTCACAAATGACTATACAAGTCTACCCTATTAACTAAAAAAATCATTTCTTTAAGACTTCTTAGATACTGTAATGGTATCACAACTTTTTGGTCACCCTGTACAAGTTCTTTTGCAGATAAAAAAATCTACAAATTAGTATTTGCCATTGTTTACAAATTTAAGACTAAAACACAATTGTAATAATAATCCTTACGTATGAAGTAGCACCTTTCACATCGGGGGGAGAGGGGAGTCTCAAAACCCTGCCCAGGATTTACTCTAAGTGGGGTAATTATGTATTTTTTGTGAGCGATCACAATTTGTGCGCAGCAATGTCCCACAACCAGCCATGAAGTGAATGAAAATTTTATCTAGCCTGGATATCTGAAACTCCCTTTTTGTTTTGAATAGTGCCATGGGATCTTTTAACATCCACCTGAACAGGCAAATAAGACCTGGGTTTAACCTCATCTGAAGGGCAGCACTCCAGGTGGGAAGGCTTTGATGAGGGGGAGGGGTCTCTAGAGGACAGCTAACTTTCAATGAATCCAAGGAGTTCAATGCACTTGTCCAGGCACTCATCATTCTCTCCGCAAAGTTTATGTCCTCCTGATGTGAAAGACGCTGTATAAGTACAATTTGTTGTTGTGTACGCTGAGAGCTTTAGCTTAGAAGGAGCTGACATTTTCAAGGGTGATGCGAACAGCGGGAGTTTGAGGGAGGCAGAGAGGAGAAGTTTTTGGTGGGGTGGGGGCAGGCAACCATGGAGTTTGTGCGAGGAGGGGCAAGTGGAGGAGAGTCAGGAAGGTAAGGATGGGGATGAGTTTGTTCCCAGGAGGATAGGCGAACCTTGTAGAGAGACTGGAGGTTATTTCAGTCAGGGTGGCTGCTCTGGAGCGAGTGGCCCAGTGACTCTGGTAGAGGATGCCCAGTCTGCAGGGAGGCTGTGGAATGGTCCAGGTGGGAGAGAAGGCAGGGAGGTGGTAGGAGAGAAAAGTAGGAGAAGTGAGGTATGGGGAGTAGAACTGGGCTCATTTTGGGAGGGGCAGCTCAGGTCAGAGGCAGCAGCCAGATGACTTACTCCAGGACTAGCAGCAAAAGGATCAGTGGGGCATGATCAACCTGCCCTCACAGGTGAGAAAGTTGCTGACAAATGCTACAATGGAGCTGAATTAAAGTTAAATTTAATTGTTAGAGAAAAATGATGGAAATTTTTTTTAAAAGAGTGAAATGTTTTAAATGTTTCTTGCAATCTTAATTTTCTGCCGCTAGGGGGAGAGTAATTCCAACTGGGTCCAACACGTATTTGTGTAGCAATTTCAGAGTGTGCAGGATTTGGCAAATTCTCAAATGCAATCTTAATTTTGAAGCCTGTTTTCTGTAGGTTCTTTTAAGAACTACAATGATTACCAGGCCACTGTCTTAACAACAACAACTTGTATTTACATCGTGCCCTTCACTCAGGCCAGCGATTCAAAGCACCTAAACACATGGCTATACTTTATTCAAGTCTGAAATAAAATAACTGGGGTCACGTGACGATGGATAATAATAAGCCTTGTATTTAATACAAAAGCAAAAACAATCATTTATTTTCATTATGTGACAAACTGTACAGTGGGACTCAATATTTTCCCATTTACCTTTTTTACACTTTCTCTACTTACATGATTGTTATCATCTTTCTCTGTATAGTATTTGAGTCAAGTTTTTTCATATTAAGGATATTCACAGGCCATTGGAATTTTTCAGAGTTGATGAACAATATTGGCTTCTGTACATTTCGATAAGTCTCATCATCCAGTGGGAACATCCACGCATCCAATGCTACTCCACATCTGTCAAAAACAACAGTAGAATACATTTTAGGTTACTGAACTCTCCAACTCATGTTACAAACCATTAACCTGTTAAATGAAATTCTGGATAAACTCGGGTTAGTCTCATGTTTACATGTTGTTGAAAAATCATCTTCCATTTCATATTTACTCTGATAGTTTTCAAATGTACTTATCTTAATGTGCTGTTGTGTTGTGTAATTGTAATGCTTGGACAGAACTCCACACAATCTACAGACATTTTACAAATAAAAGCTTTTTTCCTCTTAAACAATAACTTGCAGGTATTATCCCTTCCTTTTACAGGTAGAGATATCTGCACTAAGCTCAGAAGCCTTGGGATGTCCTCCCGACGTGAAAGGCGCTCTATAAATGTAATTTTTGTTGTTGTTGTAATCTCTTCAACCTCCATGGCTTCTCTGAAACTCGCTAAACCAATTTGCAACCTTGATTTTTGGTTCGATCCTCATCTCTCCTTCCATCCTCAAATTCAGTCCTTGACCAAAACCAGCTACAAACCAATCTTTTCGAAGTTGCCTACAGTCACCTCCCCATTTCTCCCTTGCTCAGGGGCGGACACCATCCCTATGAAGCAATATACCAAATGAAGGGTACAATATAAATGTAAGCTGTAGATAGTTCTTAGTGCACATTTTTTTATAAGAATCCTTGCATTTGATACAGCGATTTATCACGTCTTCTAAACGTCTCAAAGCGCTTCTCTGAATATACTAAGTGAATTGACTGTATATTTTGTAGGCGATATGTGACAGCCAATTGCGCACTGCGATGTCCCAAAAGCAGTTGTGGATTGAGTGACCAAATTATTATTATTTATGTATTTATTATTTTTTGTTTGATTCATTCATCAATGAATATGGAATTTTCACGAACAGAAAAATAAGATATACTATACTCTATTTGAGTCACGTTTAGAGGACAATCTTCTAAACATTTGTCCTTTCCTGTTCTAGCACATACTATCTTCCAGTCCACTCAATGCAACCAAACCTCCTCACTGTTGGGAGTCATCTAGCCACATAATCTAGTATCATAAGCAAATCACACAAAATTCTAATAAGTATTCTCCTAATAATTTATGAATAATGTGAACACCAGGCAGTCCAAGAAAAGCACATTTTAAAATTATTTTTGATAGATATTGTGACTAGTTTGAATCAAACAGCACCACATGGGTGCAAGCAGGTTATCCAGTTAATGTAATCCAACATAATTGGATTTGGGGAATAAAGTTAACACATTAAAACACTTTACGGATGCTAAGGCTCTTTGGAATTAATGGCAAATTAACTGAAATAAACACTGACTTAGATAGAAACATGAATTTGAAAATAAATAGAAAAGTGCTTTACATAATGAATAATGGCGTACCGTATTTACTGACCCAAACTGATTAAAACTTACTTAAACCTCTGATCTTTACCGAGGGTCTCGATCGCAGTGGCACCACCGAATGAATGACCCATAATAGCTACTTTACATAGATCAATTGCATCCTATAAAGAAACAAAACAGATTGAATTACATTTCAAATGCTCAAAACATAACTAAGTTTCATTTTGCTGGAATAAAGCAAATAATTCAATTATTTTAGAAAGTTACAAGGACCCAGTTCAAATCTAGCTGCTCAACATCTGCCCATCAATTTGTCTCTGGACACTAGCACAAAATTTAAAAGGGTCCCAATCTAAGATTGTCTCACAACTGAGGTGTCATGGCCAATGTGACTTTCTGGAGTTGCCCTTGCAGGAAAGAGCTTGTTTAGTAACTTTACTGCTTTCCTGAAGAACATCTTTGAAGAAAGAGAAAATTAGTTAAGGTTCCTGCTTTCAATTGCTATCCTGCAATTTTCTGGTGGAAATTGGGTGAATGTAGGCAATTGGGTGAGGAGAGAGCTTAACGATGATTACCCCAATACCTGAATACCCTTCTGACAGTCATTAGCTTGGTTCATACATGAAGAATAGCCATTTAGCTGTAATAGCGGAGGGTGGCTGATGCCTGTGAAACCATACCTCCGCAAGAACCAGCGCCTTCAAAAGAGGAGGGAAGAAAAAGAGTGGAGATAATTGGAAGAAAAGAAGAAAGATGGTACTTTATCTGCTTATAAATGTCTATAGGCTGCTACATAGTCTTTGTTCCAATAATAGTGCTACTTTATCTAACAGGATATTAGATAATGTGGAGTCCTGTAGCTCAGTGGTTAGAGTCGTGGGTTTGATTCCCGGCAGGGCGAAACCTTCAGCAAGTTTCCTTACTTCACACGGCTGATAATAATCACTCAAAAGAAAAAAAATTTATAAATTGGTCACTTCAATCCACGACTGTTTGTAGGACACTGCTGTGCGCAATTGGCTGCCGCGTTTCTCCCACAAATATACAGTCAATTCACTTTACAGTATATTCTGTGAAGCGCTTTGAGATGTCTAGAAGATGTGAAAAGCACTATATCAAATGCAAGGATTATTATTATATTAAGTCACCACAAAAAAAGCTCTCAAAATACTCAGCTTTAATCAGTTGCATTCCATAGATAAAATAATTAGATTCAGATTATCGGAATTTCAGATCTACTTTGGTATTGTTTAAACTTGGCCTTGGGTTTATTTCGGAGAACAAAAACAATGGTCATAAATGCCAGAAGTCTGTAGTTATGCAATGCACAGTAAACTGTTTCCTTGTCAGCTTTCCTCCAGAACACAATTGTCAAATTTAAGATAAATTGGAGTATTGAAAACAAATGCAAGAAAATCACAAAAGGAATTAAAGGGAGATTACAAAACAAATCTGTACACAGCGGGAGGCTGGAGTATGGATTCTTTGTCGCAGACTTTTTGTTGCCAAGACCTTAAATTCTTTCAAAAGGGAATTAGACAGATGATTGAAAAATATGACTATTTAAGGTTATGGGGAGTGAGTAGAAGAGTGAGGCGTAGGTTGCTAATGTGGTCAAATGTGCTGTAACATTCTGTGGTTCTATGATATCATATGAATCAGATATCTACTTTGCTAACTGAGATGTGAGTTGCAATATAACTGTAAAGGGCATCTTATAAGAACATAAAAATTTGCTAGGCGAAAGAAGACCAAGGTCCATCTAGTTCACCTTCGACCATCTTGGCATATATCATGTCCCAAATTATACACTGTATCCTGAGATATTATTTTCTCGCCGAAATCTATCTAATTTGTTCTTGAAACAAATGACATTTTCTGCTTCCACCATCTCCCTCGAGAGCCTGTTCCATAAGTTTACTCCTCTCTCACTGAACTAGTGTTTCCGCAGATTTGTTCTGAATTTACCCCCCTTCAATCGTAGGCCGTGTCCTCTGGTTCTACTGTTCAGTACAAGATAAAACAGCTTATCATGGTTTACGTTATCTATTCCCTGCAGAATCATAAAGATTGTAATCATATCGCCCCTTAACCTTCTCTTCTCCAGTGTGAACAGCTTCACGTGTATAAATTGCTCATTCACTTCATGGTTGTTCATGGGACATTGTTGTATGCAAAAGAGTTGCTAAATTTGATTACAAATACCCAGTCACTACACTTATTAGCAACTACATCTGAAGCACTTTGAGATAATCTAACTTCATGAAACCTACTGTATATAAAATGCAAGGATTATTTATTATTAAATCTGTATTTCTTTACTCTTTCTGAGATTCCAACCAGCAGTATCAAGTAAGATATGCAAAATATACAATACAAAGGATGTTTAGAATTAAGACTAAAAGGTGGCCTTACCTTCATTTTTGTGAAGTCAAAATCTACTTCCAGGACATTATGGATTGATTTTCCTGTGTCTATATCAGTCATCAGATCTAAGGCCCTGATGCACTCTTCTGCCCTTTGATGCACCTGAAAATCGCAAATATAAGCCAGTCCTTTGGAGATTTGAAAGGGTTTGGAAAATTAAACTGTTATTTAATGAGAAGATTATCCATAATAATAAACTGTTATTTAATGAGAAGATTATTCATAATAATGATTTTTATCTATAATAATATGGATTTTACGCAGCAACTGCATTCACTTTCTTTTGGATCAGCTAGGTGTCTGACACACGTGGAAACCCAGCACCATGCTTAAGTCTCTAAGCTAAACCACCAAGAGTTCCACATTTGTATGGTTTCTATTTGTCTGGTATGGAGTGCACACTGTGTTTAATGTGCCCTGTTTAACTAATCCTGGAGAGTTTAGACACAGGTTGGCAATAGCCAACGCTTGAGAACCCCAGAGTGTGCAATTGGAGGTAACTCAATTTAACCATCTTAAACTATACATCTTACAAATATGAACATTGGTACGCATATCCAGCTAGGAACTCCCTCCAATTACACACCCTTTTGGGGTAAGGGCAGGTAATTGGAGTTGAGGTACAGATCAGTCATGATCTTATAAAAAAACAGGCTTGAGGGGCTGAATGGCCTATGTTCCTCTGTTCCTATACTCCTATGCACATGTTGGGACAGGGTTACCAGGTGCTGAATAGGAGAAATCTCTGCCACAAGTAACTGGTCTGCTCTTTAAGTCCTATTAATGAACCGGATAACTGGTCTATTCATCAACTGGGACTTGCAGCTTTGGTACTGGATGACTGCAACCATCTCTGAGGATTGACTCACTTCCACCATTCCATAGCCAGGCACATTACCTTTGAGTTGGAGACAACTCAGCCCCAAAGAGACCCTACTTACCTCCCACCCTCCCATCTTCAAAGAAGAATATTCACTAATTGGTCATTGGACATTAGTCAAGTGCAGATTTGCGTCATTTTTACGTGGATGTTAGGATTGCGTTCTTCAAAATCTTTCTCTTTTTCAAACAATTGTTCGGAATGACCCTCGAGCAATATTTTGCGACTGTGTTATTGACGGAACCAATTAAAATAAAATCTATCTGGTTTGGTAGTCCAGAGCAACTTCCTGCTGCTGTACCTGATGATTCCGGAAGGGGAATTCTTGTGTTCCTAACTTATGTGGCTTGTAGTCAATCCACCTCTCCTCCAATTGATCCAAAGTTGGCAGTGCACTTGTGGACGAACTCTGTTGCTGCACCTCATTGATGGATTTCTCTTCATAGTAATATGTAGCAGAAGCAGATTCATCTCTGAAAATAACAAATAATACCATTCAGCAATCATGCCATCATAAAAGAACACTTCATTGCTCCTGCCTACCTCTGTGACCTACTAACACCATATCGATCTGTTCGCTCCCTCTGCTCAGCAGGCTCCTGCCTGCTCAACGTCCCCTGCTCCGGCCGCCCCACCATTAGTGGGCGAACCTTCAGTCTCTCTGCCCCCACTCTTTGGAACTCCACCCCACATTGCTTTTGCGTTGCTCCCTCCCTTGCCTCCTTTAAGCCACGTCTCCAGACACTCCTCTTCGACTGTGCATTCGGCCGCACTCCTACTCCTATGCTCCCTGCCCTCCACCCCTCCTGATCCCAACCCCTTGCTCGGGTCCAAATCCCTGACTGTCCAGTGCCTTGGGACGTCCCCCCTATGAGAAAGGCGCTATACAATGTAATTTGCTGTTGTTGAATGGGGAAGAAATTCCATCAAGGTTTATTTAGCCTGATATTCTATTTTCTTAGCATTTCACAATGCGCAAAATTTGGAAAATTCTTAAATTCAGCCTTAATTTCAAAACCTGTCTTGTGTGGAACCTACAGGAAAACGGTTTCGTCTTAAAACTGTGTTTAAGAAATTATCAAAATCTGCAATGCTCTGAAATGCAAAGAAACAAGAAGTCAGTCTAGACCCAGGTGTTATTTCTCCCCAATGTGTTCAAATTGACCTTTTGTTATGGCAAACCCTTTCTAGGTTCAACAAACCTTTCTGTAAATCAGGGAATGTTACTAAAATGAGACATTGACAGTCAAAAAGAAAAAAAACAACAGCCAGCCAATCATGATATCTCAGCTCAGTGAGGCTTGTTTTATTACATCTGCAATTACTGACTGGTCCCCATTTATCAACAACAACTTGCACTTATATAGCACTATATAAACGGGGTACTCCTGGCTCCAAGGTGACATGCCTGGCAAGGGAATGTCAGAATCAAGCCAGACTTCTGTAGCGGTCTCAGTAGTCAGTTTCCTGAGCCAGGCAGGTCCAGTACACTGCTGATCACATCACAGCCAGCCTAGTTCATCTGTAGGACCTGGAAGGGCAGCGAGTCATCCCACTCAGCTCCTGTTAACCCTGTAAGCCAAAGCCCTAACAGGTAGGGTGGTCCGAACTGGACAAGCAGTCAAACAGCAATATCAATGGTAAGCTATGCAGTTTTAGTTGGTTAGACTCCAGCATACACTCTGGAGTCTCCATCGCACGTTCTGGAGTCCCCAAGCCTTGGCTTTTGCCAATCTGCGCCTAATACTTTACCGGAATTAGGTAAGCAGGATGCATCCCTCCAGGGAGAGAGTGAGTATTCCATTCCAACAATCATCTTGGTTACCCTTAAACACCCGGCTGACTGGTCTAGTTTCATTGTATAGCACCCTTCACGTAATGTCTCAGAGCCCTTAATAGTGGCAGATGCTGAGCCAGGGTGAGGGAGGATTTGTATATCAAAAAATAATCTGAATCAAACATTTTACTGAAAGTTTAAAAATGTCTTTCTTTCCTGTTGCTGAACAGCCTAATGTCATGATTTTGAGTTGTTTTTTTCCTCCTTTGTATAATTTTCTGTCTGACTCACTGCTAATCTGTCAATTTGACAGTAATTGGAGTCCTTGTTCCTGAATTATAGACTGTGGCAGACTGAGATTAAAATAGGAAATGTTGTCATATGCACATATCTCTCGTCTCAGAACCATAACCAATAATAATCATGTTTACATTAGCGACGCCCATAATCGTACTGACTGTTGAAGAATCTCCACTAAAAAAGAATAATGAAACTTATAATTCAGTTGCTTCAACACAAAATTAAAAGTACATACGTCAAAGATTTTTTTCTCCAGAAACTATTTTAATGTAGTGCATCATTCCCAAAGGATCCTTGAACTCACAGTCTAATCTGACACTCTGGGGGAGCGCTGCAGTGTCCTTTGGATGAGACATGAAACGTCTGCCTGCCCGAGTAGATGTTAAAAATCCCGTGGTGTTAATTGAAAAGCGAGGTGAGTTTCTCCCGTATCCTGGCCACCAATCTTCTATATAAGTTGGTCATTGGCTGCATGGCTGTTTGTGGGACACGACTGTGAGCAAATTGACCACCCTTTCTGCTTACAAAATACACTCACTACACTTGACAGTAATTCCTGTAAATGCTTCAAGACTTCCTCTTGATATGAAAAGTACTATATCAAATGCAAGGATAATTATTTACTGTGCTTACTTGGTCAATCTCAGTGGGACATGGATGTGTGATGCATCACAGTTGGCCACAATGTTACTTTAATTGTGTTCACATAGGAATAGAGAGGATAGAGAGGATTAAAAAAAATAACTGTTGTCCATCTGGCCAACTCGTAATAAAAAACAAAAACAATTTATACCCCACTCATTTTTTTATACCCTTCAGATTGATTTATTCCCCAAATAGGTATCTAACTCGCTGTTGAATACCCAAATTATAATTCGAAGATTACAAAAAAAATCCTTGCATTTGATATAGCACCATATCATGTCATTGAGATATCTCAAAGGGCTTCACAGGGAATACTGTAAAGTGGATTGACTGTGTATTTTGTGAGTGAAATGCAGCAGCCAGTTTGCGTACAGCATTGGAGTCCTGTTGCTTATTAGTTAGCGCACTCGCCTCACAAGCAAGCGGACCCGGGTTCGATTCCCGGGCAGGATGAAACCTTAGGCATGTTTTCTTACTCAATCCTCCTCTTTTTACCTGTCAGTAAGTAGGAACAAGGTTGTTAGTTAATTGGCAGATTCTGGGGGTAATAATTCTTCCCCCAATTTGTTTTTAAATAATAATTTGATCACTCAATCCACGACTGTTTGTGAGACACTACTGTGTGCAATTGGCTGCCAAGTTTCGCCCACAAAACATACAGTCAACTCACTTTATAATATTTTTTGTGAAGCGCTTTGAGACATCTTGAATATGTGATAAGGCGCTATATTAAATGCAAGGATTATTATTTTAATTATTGTCCCACAAACAATCATGGAGTGAAGGATTTGTTGTCTAAGCCATTGGGAGAAATCCCTTCTCGTCTCAAATAGTGCTATGGGATCTTTACCATCCACCTGGACAGGCAAACGGGACATTGGTTTAATGGATCACCCAAAGGGCCTCTCCTCGACAATGCAACACCCCCCCCCAGCACTGCATTGGAGTGCAGGGTAGACTGTGTGATTTCAAGTCCCGATGTGAGAGTTCAACCCATTTAAACATAGTTCCTATTTCATGTTACATGTTCCATTCACAGCCCAAAATTCGTCAACTCTGCATTCCATTCCTATACTGGGTCACTTCTGCAACCTTACAGTTCTAACATTGTCCATATTTACTTGGTATTGATTATTCTAGAACTAGAAACATACCGTAAGACAAATATTTGAGGCACAATCATGTGTCTAATATTTAGTTTGGCGAGTGACCCGTGAAATTTGGTTCCTTTCACAGACAAAAGCACATTTGAACGTCAGCAAGTTATTTCTGCTGTGAGGCACGGAGGCTGCCTACCTCAGAATTCTTTATAATATTTAACAACAGCTCATTGGTTCTTTTTGTAAACACAATGAATGATATGCAGAAGCCTGACAAACAACTGTGTTTTGACAATGTCGGTCATAACAAGAAGGATGTTCTGACAAGTCCTAGTTTAAGAAGATTAGAGAGTCTCCAGTTTACAGCTGGATTTTGATTGTTCTCTTCCTGTCAGAGCAGACAATGTTTTTTTTATATCAAGGGCGTTGACTGGAACAAGAGAAATGCTGACCACAGGAGGTGTTCTCATGGAAAACATGCATTTTAAAGGGACTTGGCCTTTGTGAAAAAGCAATTGACAAACTCATGTTTTGTCTAGGCCAGAGGTCCCTCCCACGTGCTAATTTCATCATAATAATATCACAAAAACACCACAATACATTTACTTCATTTGGGGGGGGTGGGGGTCACAGACAAAATGGTTTTGGACAACAGCAAATTCACATAAAGACAATGCTCCATGAAACTTTTATACAGTTGAATTTCATGCACAATTATATTCTATAAAGACACTAAACAGGTATCTGGGTAGCGGAGCTAGGAAGCAGGGTGCATTCGAAACATATACTAATAATCCTTGCATTTTGATATTGTGTCTCATCACGTCATTGAGACGTCTCAATGAATTGCTCAGAATATATTGCAAAGTGAATTGACTGCGTATTTGTGGGTGAAAAAAAATCAAGGTGGGTGGTGACAAAAGCATGAATGAGAATTTCAGCAACATTTGAAGATAGGGACGGAACATACACACACACACACACACATTCTGTAACACGCCCGCAGAGACCCAGACTCACACACGCACACACAGACGTCTCTCACACCCACACGCAGACACACACACACAGACAGACGTCTCACACACATTCGGAGGTGAAGGAAGTTGGTCCTGGTCAGGGAGTAGGGAGTGCTATGCCATTCTATGGGGTGCTGCTGACACACACGCAGCAAGTAATGTCAGTAGCACAGGAGTTCTGCTCATCAGTGCCGGAAGCCAGATGTACTGAGCGTCCAGTTAGTTTGGGTCCAAAGCATTACAGCATTATAGCTTATATCAAAGAGTATTATAATGCGGTTCAAGGGCAAGAGAGAAAGGAAATGAATTCCTTGCACAAGCTTCCCCACAATTGTGAGTTTCTCTGGGTTGCGCTATCATGGAAAGATATGAAATATAGGTCAGATATTTCTCACAGGGAGTGTCGTCTCTGTGCAGCACTCTGGATAAACATTCTGTTGATATTCAAGACAAGCAGGTCTGCTTAAGACATTGAAAGGACTACCCAATCTGTCGTTCCTCAAATAGGAAGAGAATTCCGGAAGCTTCTGGTTTGTGCCATGAATCTGATCTATTTTTAAAACCACTTTACAATCAACTCTCTTCTCAAAGGTATTCTGGGTCACCAACTCATTGACAGAAAAATAAACTGAGGACCTGGCTCCAAGTGAAACTGTGCAGTGCAAATGGGGCAAAAGTCATCCAATCCCAGGAGATCATTCTGAGGTAATTGTTTTTCTTTTGTAAGGAAATAGAGAATTCGTGATTGTGTGTGGAGTCTAAATGAATGGGGGTGGGGGAGGAAAGAAATACTATTCTTTACAGGTTTTGAAAGTAAGTGTTGTTTTTCCTCTGCTTTAACAGATGTCAAGTGAACACACAACTCAACACGGACCCACACTACTCTTGTTTGATCCCCTACTGATTCTGATGTCTTCGTCTAGACTGAAAACATGACCCTGCTGTTAAAAATTATTTTAAACACCCTTTTGGAACACGGACAGTTTTTATTTTTTTTTAAATCTTGCAATAAACTGACTAAAGTTCGTGTGTCTCTGAAGAGATCTGAAAGTAGATATCTGGTAGACAAACACATTTTTTTTCTTTGAAAAGCAAGTTAACAGTGGATCTGTGAGAGATGGGGACACCAAGAAGCAGTATTCTGCAATCCAATTTTTTTTTTAAAAAAATGTTGGCATATTAAACTTAGAATTGCCAAAATAACATTTTTGGAATGCATTTAGTCATTCAAGGGTTATCACACTTTGTATCATCTGTATGAAATGCATTTTTTTCCAGTACTTGTTTAACAGCTCAAATACTGCTCTCTCCACCATTTCCCACCACACACACACCCACCCATCCACCCACCCACAGACACATTCCAGTGTCACTCTCAAACAGAATCAGCTCTTCTGTATCATATCATTGAAACAATACTTTAACTGGCTTCCACCTTTACACAGCCTCATTTTCCTCTGAATTATTTTAGCTCAAAATCAAAACTCTCACGGAAAACTCTTGCAGAAACAATTTACAAATATATACTAAGTCGTCAGGAGGATGTATCAAAATGCTTCATCAAAGGCCGAGAGCTCGAGCTAGGGGTGGGGGGAAGGAGGGGGGAAAGATGACTGAAATCATTATCAAAGAGATTAGTCTTAATGAAAGTTTGAGGGCTGGTAGGGAGGAGGCAAATTGGAGGAACTCCATGTGGGGCTCCAGAGACTAGGGGCAGAATATCTGAAAGTTCACTCGTTGATGGGCGGGGGATGTGTAGCAGAGAGCGCTGAAATGCACTTCATACAGATGATACAAGTGCACCTCATGTGATTCTAGTTAACAAATAGTTAGTGGCCATTTTCCAATTGTTTTGTGTGGTAACCCTTGAACAACTCAGCGCATTCTAAAAATTTTGGAATAAAGATTGCAGAGGTAGGATGGGGCAAGATCATGGAGCAATTTGAAAGTGAGGATGACAATCTTGAATTTGATTTATTGGGGGATTGGAAGCCAATGGAGCTGGGCCAGGATAAGGGTGATGGGCTTAAGGAGGCCGGTGGAGGAGAGAGTTCTGGATAGTCTGTGGCCTGTGTAAGAAGAAGCTTGGGAATCCAGTGAGAAGGGTGCTGGAATAACAGAACTTTGAGGTAATGGAAGGTGTATATGAGAGTCTCGATACCCTAGAGAGAGGTAGTGATGGAGGTGGGTGACGTTAAAGTGGTCAGAGAAAGGACTGTGAATGAGAGTTGGGATCTAGAATTCAACATTCAAGTGCAATGTCAAATACTAAATAATCCTTACATTTGACATAGCGCCTCTCACATCAAGAGGACGTCCCCAAAAGCTTGACAGGATTTATTGTGAAGAGGAGTCACTGTGTATTTGTAGGTGAACGTGGCAGCCCAATTGCACTCAGTAGTGTCCCACAAACAGACCCACAACAATTTTATGCTGGGGGATTGTTGGCCAGAACAACCAGAAATTCTGCAATTTTTAGCTTCCTGCACTGAAAAATGGCTAACCTCCAATTCACTTGGTCACTAACAATGTAACTTCCTAGTTTGCGGATAAAGGAAATTACATCGGTGGTGACCTAAAAGTCAAGATATTTTTTTCTTTAGCATGAAAACAAGCCTGCATGCAAAGAAGCGAATCGGTTGGCTACACAGAGCAAATCCTCTCTCCTCCCCACCCCACCCAAGCAGACCTCGCTATAAAGTAGGTTGGAATTTTATGGATCCAAATAGGATTGAAACATCCACCATTGTATATTGACTATCAACAACAACAACAAGTTACATTTGTATAATGCCTTTCATGTCAGTAGGACGTCTCAAGGCCCTGAACAATCCGGGATCCACATCCAAGCTAGTAGTTGGGATCAGGAAGGATGGAGGGTGGGAAGGGTAAGGGTAGGAGGGTGACTGAAAGCACAGTCAAAGAGGGTCTTGAAATAGGCAAGGGAGGGGGTGAGGCGGAGGAACTGTGGGATGGAGTTCTAGAGGGTGGGGGCAGAGAGGCTGAAGGCCCGCTCTCCAATGGTGGGGCGGGCAAGGCAGGGGACGTGAAGCAGGCTGGAGCCCACTGAGGGGAGGGAGCGTACAGGTTACTAGGGGGCTAGGAGATCACAGAAATAGGAAGGAGCAAGGCTGTGGAGGACTTTGAAGGTGAGGACCAGGATATTGAACTGTATTCTCTGAGTGATGATCTGCAGCCTGTGGAGGGAAGAGTTGGGGCGGCTGGCAAGCAGGGAGTTTGCGTAGTCAAGCCAGGATTTAATGAATGCTTGAATGAGGGTCTCGGCGGCCCTCGGTGAAAGACAGTGGCAGAGCCGGACAATGTTGCGGAAGCGGAGAAAGGTGAAACGGATCATGATACGGATGTGGGGGATGAAGGACAGTTTGAGGGTCGAACAGGATGCCGAGGTTCTGTACTGGTTCCGTGAGGTGTAGAGTGCATCCATGAAGGTGATGCTGTCAGCGCCTAATACATGGAAGCGTTGACTAGAGCCAAGCTGGAGGGCCTCAGGAAAGCAGGAAAGATATATAATATTTAATACCAAGAATATTTTGTACAAGTACCTATGTACATGTCAGTGAGGATTTCCCTTTATGTTTTCCAGAATTAAAATGATATTTCTTACCTGTGTTCCACAGCAGCAACTATAAATCCTTGTGAAGCCACTTCTATGCATATTGCTGAATACAGCGTTCTGTTAAGATAAAGAAACATTGCTTACATTTTGCTGTGATGAAATTTAATTTATGTGTAGATTTACTCTATTTATATAGCATCTTATTAGCAGAAGAATTCAAAGAAATTTTTAAATAGGTCAATCATTCTGTAGCCCATTTTCTGTAAGTTGTTTTAAAAATGAATTCAATAATTTGCGAAATTCTGTACATACTAAAACACTACAGAAATAAAGTAATAATGAAGTAATATTACTTCATTAAATCTAGAAGTAAATCTAGACCCAAGTGGAATTCCTTCCCATGAATTTTACTTTGTAACAAGACAAAGGGAAAATGTACATGAAGACGTTTAAAGCCATACAGGAACATTTGGATAAAAACTGATCAGCTATTGAGAATCCTCAAGATATTTTAATTCTCGATGGGTGGAGTTTTCCTAATTGCATTTCATCCATCTACATATAATTCTTAGTCTGAACCTCACAGTTTACAAGGTAGCCATTTGTTAAAGCCAGAAATGCCATTATTTAGCTAAAGAGCTTGGCGTTACAGGGGTGGTAATGATTTTACATGCTGACAGTCTTCATATACAGTGTGAAATGGAGTAAATAAATAGTCAAAGTGGAATCTATTCAGCACAAAATATGGGTTTTACTTTAGGTTGTGACTCATTCTTCCTGTGTCAGTGAATGCATCTTATCATACCAAGTAATCGCCAGCAATGTTAAATTGTGGTTGTGGCAAAAACTGCTTTCTCACCAGTTTTGGGTTACTTGGGTAATGTTGAAGTGCTTTAGCATCTGCACATTTTTGTTGTCGACAGAAGCATGAAAGACTCAGTTATCTGGATGAACCACAGAAAGAGATGTCTCATAACAAGGTGCATGACCCACGTTCTCTGATTGTATGCAGTTTGCACAGTGAAGTTGCAGGTCAGCATTGCTTCACTGTATTCAACACAACAATAACAAATTCCATCTATGTAGAGCTTTTCAAATTGGGAAGACAACCCATGGTGCTGGTCAGTCGAGGATTTTCACCTGAGCTGGGGGTTGGATTTGGGAATTTCCGGGGGGTGGGTTGGGTAGATGACCGAAGGCACAAATAAAGAGGAAGGTCTCGAGATGGACCTTGAATGAGGCAAGGAAAGGGGTGAAGTGAAGGAACTCCAGGATGGAGTTCCAGAGAGGAGACTGATAGGCTGAAAGCATGATTGCTTATGGTGAAGCAGGCAGGTAAAGTTGCCACCTCTGGGACACAAAAAAATGGTCACGGACTTGAAAAGCACCTCCTCGACAAAACTATTGCGGCCTTTGGACACCATGTAACACCTCTAGTTAAACCAGTTAAAAAATGGCTAGGTGGCACAACTGTTAGGTTGGATTTGTGTCAGGTGCGTTCAATGCAACACACTTGATTCTTGAGATAGCGGAGCTGGCTGGTGTACCAGGAGGACTTGTGGGAGTAGGAGGTTATGTGGGGGCATGTCAGTGATATTAGTGAGGGAGTTATGAAGAAAGGTGATCAATGAGGTAAGGTCGTTGCGGGAAGAGTGCCAGAGGAGCAGTTCAGATGACTAAAGGGCAGCAAAGACGGAGTGCGGGAGTAATTTTTTTCCATGGGTGGAAGGAGATGGAAGTGGGTTGGGTGGCAGGGCGTAGGATTGAGGAGCTAAGAAAGACTCTTTAAAACAAATTGTTTTCAATCACCTCACCGCCTTATTGGTAATGAAGTGTTTCAAAGAAAGCATGTCTGTACAGAAGTGTTACAAAGGATTATTGGGATGTGGAACACATTACGCCAAGTGTCTATTGAGGTCCAGTTAATTAGGAAAACAGGCATAATAAAACCAAAGAAATGAGATGAGTAGATAGCTCCAGTGGGAAGCTAGACAGATCAAAGAATATATGCTGCCTTTGACTTAGGAAAATCTCTCCACAAATACTTTGCAGAAATGGCATGGAACATTGAGGAATGTTCAGCAGGCCCGAGATGGACGAGGAGGTATGAGCAGGAGAATAGGACTGAAGGTAGAAGTACCATGGACTGAATGACTTATTTTTGCCCTGAAATTTCTATCCTATGACCTTTTTAGCTCAGGTATACAATTTCTTAATAGATATTCTGATGAATTGCTGACCTAGATAATGAGATTGACTGTAAGACCTGATGACTAATAATTTACATATTATTAAACATATAGATCTCGTCTCCTTTTCCTGGCAGAGATGGAAAGTTCAGAGGTGCTTAGAGGAAATGTTGTCATCTTTGTAGCACTAAACTGTCAGTGAGACCAATTCTCAAGTTTTATTTCGCAGTTTGTCCTCAATAATTTGCTCCAAGTAGTGCAATTCGCTCAGTGCAGATTAGGAATGCCATACAAATCTTGTGAGTAATGTTTAGGTTAGTGTTGAGTCTGCAGCTCCAATGTTTCAACATCTGTGTGAATCTCAATGCCACAAACACTTGGATGAAGCTCGCTAAAGAAAATAAACCCTGTAAAAGTGAAAATATTTAAAAAATACAATAGTTTTACCTGAAAGCTCCAAGGCCATGGGAGAAAATAATCAGAGGATATTTTCCATCAGCTTTAAATGGGGCATTCCATTCAACAGGAATTTTAAATGATCCTGACATGGAAAGAGACCAGGGGAGAAATTGGTTTTCTAATATTCATACATCACATAAATAATCCACATACCCAAACAAATATACCAGAAGAACAATTGTTCTAATATTAAGCATGCTGTTAAAGGTAGGATATAGAGTGACCCTTCTCAGTTTTAAACCCCTAAAATATTTCTTATTCAAATTACTCATGAACAAATATTTCTTCCAATGTAAAACTAGTGTCCCCCAGTGCTCTGCTTTAGGACCACCACTTTTCACCATATACATTAATGATCTGGAATGAAGGATTAAAGGAGAGTATGCCTATGTCAGTGGATGACACTCATCTAGGTGGCATAGCAAGTTGTGAAGGTAGCAGCAGGAAATTGCAAAGGGGCACAGACAGATTAAATGAGCAGGCAGAACTAAGGCAGATGTAGATCAACATGATAAATTGTTTGATAGTCTACTCTGGATCCAAGAAAGACAAATTGCAATCTTCTTAATGGAGAAAGACCAGGAATAGTGCATGAGCAAAGGGATTTAGATGTCCAGGATCACCGGTCATTAAAAGATAGTTCACAGTTACAAAAATATCAAAAGGTTGTTGGGAATTTGGTCTTTATCTCAAGAGGGCTTGAATACTCAGTTCGTCCACAACACAGTTACGGCACTTTACTGAATATCCTGTGAAGTGCTTTGAGTCATTCTTCTGACGTGAAAGGCACCGTACCAAATGAAAGGATTTTTATTGTTATTAATAATATTAATACATAATCTAATAAAAAGATAGAGCCAATTTAAGGGACTGCACCTCTTCCTATGTACTAAAACTAGGGGAGAACTATGGTCCAAAATACAATACACATCATACTGTTACAATGCACATTAAAATTTACGCTTCCCACTCATCAATGCAAATTGAAGGCAAAAACTATAGAGGTAATATTATTATTATTGTTATTATTTTGAATGTAAAGCTAGAGTCTCTAATTGTGAACACCCAGAATAAACTGGTGAATAACTGAGGCAAAATTATTGAATGTACCTCACTTTCATTGGCAGATTTCTTATAATACGGCCTAAACAGGACTATGTGAACTTCATGGAAGGAGATGGAAGTGGGTTGGGTGGCAGGGCGTAGGATTGAGGAGCTAAGAAAGACTCCTTAAAACAAATTGTTTTCAATCATCTCACCGCCTTATTGGTAATGAAATGTTTCAAAGAAAGCATGTCTGTACAGAAGTGTTACAAAAGATTATTGGGATGTGGAACACATTACCCCAAGTGTCTATTGAAGTCCAGTTAATTAGGAAATCAGGGCAAATGAAAACAGGCATAATAAAACCAAAGAAATGGATGAGTAGATAGCTCCAGTGGGAAGCTAGACAGATAAAAGAATATATGCATCTACCAATTCTATAATTAAACTCTCACATCCTGGCTCTTAAAAGTCTGTGGAGTAACATTGCTTTAGTTGTACCAGGCAGTCTGCAGACCACATTGGCTTCCTCTCTAAACTAGGAGTGTCATTGTACATATGGAGACACATGCATACATGGCTCAGGAATGTGCCTAGTCACTGGTGCTCTGAACATTTTTGTAAAATAGGATATTAAAATATAGCAACCTGTTTATCTGCTGTTGTCTGATTTGCCAAACTGATGGGATCAGACTTGCACTGGTAGGGAAGTGCAGGAACCTCCAATTGGCATTATTGAACAGTAAAAGTATTATGAGATGTACTGTGTTTTTTAAAGGTCACAGTGTATTAATAATAATAATAATGTTTGCATTTGATACCGTGCCTATAATGTCAAAATCTATCAAAGTGCTTCACAGGCAACTGCTGTCAAATATAGTGACCGTATAGTTATGGGCAAATGGGGCAGTCAATTTGCAAACAGCAAGGTCCCATAAACAGCCGAGAAATGAAAAGACCAATTTTATCTGATGGCCAAGGCACTGGGAATTACTTCTCTTTTCAAATAGTGCCATGGGGTGTTTGACATCAACCTGAAGGCATGCATAATAAACAGATAGGACCTCAGTTTAACATCCATGATCCATAAGGATGAATAATTCTCTACTCCCACACAGTGAAGGGTGGTCTAAACTGGACAACCAATGAGTAGATTCCCAATGTTTGCGTTCCTCTATAGAGAGAATGTTCATTCCATTCCAGATCAACAGTAACCATACACGTATGGAACTCCCAGTAGTTTGGTTTGGAGACTTTTAAGTGTAGTGATGATGGGGATCTTGGTGTGTTAAACTTTTGAATGAACAAACAAATAAATAAATCTTGAACCTTTTGCAAATTCTTCTGCAGGAGCCTTTACACCCAAAAAAATTTCAGGTACATTTATTTCACCAAAGGAGATCTACAGCCATGAATTTTGTTAATTTGATGTGAAATTATTTTTTAGGATTATTATTATAAATTAATGCCCGCCTCAGCTAAAGATTCAGTAGCAAACTCACATCCTCTCAAACAAAACTAATAACAAAAACATAGACATCAAAGCAAGAATGTTAGAACAGCAGTCAATTCCTTACCATACAAGTGCTGTAAAAAATAATCAACAAGCCTTCGATTGTACTGAAGAAAATTAGCAAGTCCAGAATAATATTCCTGTCGGGGAATCCACAATGGTTTCTCATAATCCCCACCTGACTCACATGGGTAATATAGGCGGATGAAACTTCCCTGTTGAAGACAGACATTTGTGTTTTGTAAAAATAATAATCCTTGCATTTGATATAGCACCTTATCACTTCGTTGAGACATCTCAAAGTGCTTCACAGAATATACTGCAAAGTGAATTGGCTATATTTTGTGGGAGAAATGCGGCAGCCAATTGCGCACAGCAGTGTCCCACGAACAGTTGTGGATTGGGTGACCAAACTATTACATTTAACTTTTGAAATAGAAAATCGATCAAATTATCTGGATGAGAGAGACACCAGTGAATATATTTTGTGAGTATGCAATTTTAAAGACTCTCATAATTTATAAAATCATTAATTTGTTAAAATCATTATCCCATATGATATTTATTTATAGAAAACAACTCATATCAGTTATTCAACTGTAAATAATAATGTAGAAATAGAGACTCCGGCAACTGAAAACAATGTTTGAAGAAAACGGAATACTTTAGGGAGCAAGTACTTGGTTTCATAGATAATGCCTCCTTCAAGAAGAATAACAAAGCTAAGAGGGACAAGTACTTAACCCTTTAAAATTCTAATTTTCTCTTTAGTGAAATCCTTACTTAAAGGTCTTTCACTTGGTCTAGAAAAAATATTTCAATCAAAAAGTGCCAAAGATTAAAATAAAAAAAAGGGTCCAGAAATGTTACCAAATGTGGTATGATTCATACAGTATGATGATTATTCTGCAGAGGTTAACTGAGCAATACGTTAGTTAGAATAGATCACATGGTATGATTCTTGAGGGAGTGTGGAAAGAACAGCAGTGTTTCTCCAGTCCAGGCATTGGAATAAAACATTTGATAAGATTATGACCAGCACAGTCTGGAACATGCAAAGTTTATACTACCAAAAGCAAAGCAAAATTGCTTCCAGCAGTACAGCTGTTTGGAGCGGAAACTGAATTTATATTCCTGCTCCCAATGGTTCTGGTATGCAAACGGAGCTTGGCGCATGCAACATTAAGTTAATAAGTCAAGTTCTGCTAACAGACATTAGGTTATGAGCCATTTATGTGATCTAATACATAAAGTCTTATTAAGGAGCTGTTTTTGTCTAGTAGGTTGCATTGATTCATTGCCTATATTTATATCTAGTGATGGAAACTGATGGTGTGGCAATGTTACTGCCTCAACGTGACATCCACAGTTAGTCTCCAGCACAAATTTTGCTTTTAAGTATCTCAACTGGAACTGCTAGGTTTGTCTTGCAGTAAAATATTGAAGCGTTAGAGGGGAAAATTACCGATAAAACCATTTGTGGTATTAATGATGGAAGTTGGTGTGTAAAGCACAGCAAATCATGCTAAAATGACTAGTTATTTCTTTCCCTGTGTTAAAAACTTCACATTATCACTGTAAACTGGGCACCAATAACATGTGAAGCACAGATGGGGGTTTGTTTGTTCTGAAACTGTATTGTTTTGGACTGCTTTAAGGCCACAGCTGATTTACAGTTCTCAAGTGCGGGCATAAGAGGCTGGGCAGGTGAGAGAGAGAAAGAAAACAGGTGAGAAAGAAGATGAGAGAGAGGTAGGTACCAGGTGAAAAACATTATACTAACAGCAGGACTCTCAACAGCCAATTCAAGATCATTCCTGCCTTTGTAAAATGAATCCAATTCCCTCCAACCTCAAGTCTGAATCCAAGAAGGCTGCAAACATTTTGAGAGAGTTTACAGAAATAACATCAAGAAATGGACCTGATAAAATCATTCCAGCTCATGTCATAGCTAAAGCACAAGGGCTTGCTATCCTGTCAACAACAACAACAAGATTACATTTGTATTGCACCTTTCACGTCGGGAGGACGTCCCAAGGTGCTGGACAGCATACAGCATTTCAGACCTGAGCTGGGATCAGGGGGGGAGAAGGGAGGGGAGGGGAATGGGGGGTGACCGATGGCATGGTCGAAGAAGAGGGTTTTGAGGCGGGACTTGAAGAGGCTAAGGAGGGGGTGAGGCAGAGTGATTGGGGATGGAATTCCAGAGGTCAGTGATTAAAGCTGGGTTCTTAGTTACTGCTCTGGGGGCAGTGGAATTCTAGTGGGTCATCTGCCAGATGGAAGATGATCTACTCCCTCTGCAATAGGCATTGCGGGTCTCGGTGGTTGGTGATGTTGGGATTGGAATTGAGGTGTCTGATTTTGTGATAATTCTGAATCACAAGCGTGCAGTTGAGGCCTTTGCTAAAGGAGGCAATCTCATACTCGGTGGAGATTTCACTGTTGCAATCAGGACCTTGGGCAGAAACATGGAGGCAAATATGTTGCTCTGCACAGTACAGCTGCAGTGCACACATACTGCAGGTCACATGGCTGATTCGCTGGAATATCTTTAGAAGGGTCATGTTTGATTGAAAGGGCGGAAACCAATGGGAAGTTTTATTGCCAGGGGATTCGAGTATGTGCAATTTTGTTTGGAGACTTGGAACTACCATCTGTAGCTCAAGAACGCTATGAAATATTGGTCTCTTTTAGTGAGCATTACCAAATCGCTGAACAGCGAAACAAAATCAAAAACATATCCAGAATGCAACCAAAGGCTGGAGAACCACGGAAACCTACTTCCAGGCCACAGTGAACACAATCATCTGGGAATGAAGGATTAGGAGGAAACTCGTGGGACGTCCCTTTAGTTGTGACAGTTTTACACCCATTCGAAGGACAAGCACCGTTTGACCTGGACTTCAATACCTGGTGACTGAATCACTGTGACATCTCAGACTGACTTGCAGTTTGACTGGTGGGAAGGAAACGTACGAGGAAAGGTTGGAATTTTTCCAGCTAACTGCTTATCCCTTTCCAAATATTGAGTCACTGTTCAATAGAGTGATGATTATCAGCCCCTATTGGGACCCACCCCATTGCGGATAAGCAAACAGTGCAAATAATGGGTCAACACACAAACTACAAAATGGCTCACTAACTTTAAAAAAATCCTATAAGAGTTATGCTGTCACTGTGGTACTACACTGTGCCAATGTTTTCTCTATTTCTTTCTTTCTGACTTTCTCTCTCTATTGTGGAGTCCTATAGCTTAGTAGTTAGAGCACTCGCCTCGCAAGCAAGAGGACTGGGGTTCGATTCCCGGCAGGGCGAATCATTAGGTAAGTTTCCTTACTCCACACTGCTCTGTTTATCCAGCAGTAAGTAGAAACTTGGTTGTTAGTTGATTGTTTTTTCAGGGATAACAATCCCTTCAAAAAATAAACAATAAAAACAATTGGGTCACTCAATCGACGACTATGTGGAACACTGCTGTGTGCAACTGGCTACCACATTTCGCCCACAAAATATACAGTCAATTCACTTTACAGTGTATTTTGTGAAGCACTTTGAGGCATTCTGGAGATGTGAGAAGGCACTTTATCAAATGCAAGGATTATTATAAGCATGCTACAAGCTACTGTATAAGAACTCAACAGTGGAAAATTACCAGTCAAACATGTGTGGTATTATGATGGAATTTGGTATGTAAAATACAGCAACCCGTGCTAAAATCCTACTAAAATTATGAAGTCAGTAGGTACACAGGGGAACATGTTCCTTTAACTTACACTTTCTTTTCAACTAATTCTGCTTTCTGTCATAAATGTATCTGCCTTAGTCAAAAGTGAGTTCTGTGTGTCGCTGTTCATTACTCATTAGATCTTCCTCGACACAGAATTCAATGTGCTCATGAAGGAGTAGATGTGAAGTAGGGTTTGCAAAAAAGCATTTATAGGAACATAAAAAAACATTTATATTACTCTAATGACAATACTTCAGTTTCTAGAATTTGACAAACAAGGAGGATGTTGATTCCGTAAGAAGCCATAGAAGAAAGTTGCTTGAAGGCAAGACTGTCTTGTAAAGTTTATGTAATTATAAAGCTTTTTTGAAAGCCATTGATTTTTTTTACAAAATATATTAAAATCCCATGTTAATCAGAACATACGTAGGTTCACAATGGTTATCTGTTGCCTATTATTTACACTGATTGCACTGTGTGGAAACAAGCCATTCGGCCCAACTTATTTGTGAAGGTGTTTATACTCTCACAAGTTTCCCCCCACTCTTTAATTCCTCCCACACCCTTTTATTTATTGTAGCATTGTGTTTCTTTATGGATCCCAAATAAAATGTAGAGAGGTTAGCACCTCACCTGAATTGTGTGATCAACCATCAGGTCTATACATCCAACAAGATTTGGTCCCTTCCCAGGAGGGATTTCAATAGTCCGACTACTGCTGCTTCCCATTCTCTCTTTATCCAGACACCTGTAATAACATTAAAAGGTTTCAAGTGCTAAGTGAACGTACCATGAATTCATGCACTGGTTATCTCACTAACTGGCTGTACAGCGCTTTCCCAATCAATAACTGTTAGCAAAGATTTAATCAACATACATTACACTATGTAATATTGCCTGCAGCACATCCAATTTTATTACACTGTGTAATCCTTACATAGCCTGTAGCTCACCTGCTTTTATTACACTATGTACAATATAATTTACAATTTCATATTGGGACATTGTCTCAAAGTGCTTCAACGTAATCCAGGTACAGCATGTAGCTCACCAGAATTTATTACATTTCCAATAAGGCCTTTTTCACCTCCACTCAGAAAGCTGTGTTTCACTATATTCAGTCATTATTTAGGTTTTATCTTTTCAAGATAATAATAATAATTCTTTCATTTGATATAGCACCTTATCACGTTTTCAAGACGTCTCAAAGCACTTCACAGAATATACTGTAAAGTGAATTGACTTCATAATTTTGTGGGCGAAACAATTGCACACAGATCTGAAAAATGATCCAAACATCCATGTCCAATTTCTCTGATCTTCCTAGATTACCCACCTAACCATTTTCCAATTACAGCAGCGACTGTTTCTAAAAGGAGTGCACTATCCTAGCTCAACTACCCTTTCCTGTAATCCATTAACCAACTACTAACTGTCCTCTTTTGTGCAAGAAAAATACTTCCTTCTGTGAATCCTAAAATTTCTACTCATAACTTTGAATCAGTGACCTCTTGTTCTGTACCTTGGAGTATCTGAAAACATTATCCTGTGTTTGCTTATACACCTCTATGATAATTTCATATTTTTTCTTATGGATGTAGCATGGGAAGGCTGGTAACTGTTAGCAGAGCCAGGTTATGCAATTATTTCCATTGTAACGCAACAGATTTAAGCAATAATTCCAACAAATGAGCCACACATCAAAGGGATCCTTTCTCCTTCTCTTTGTCTCTAAGATTATAGTCTCCAGCTGGTCGGCAGAGGTACGAATACTGCTCTTGGGAAACAATGTCTGCTATGCCATTTTGGAAGAAGATCCCTTGCTTTCCAGGTAATAATTGAACATTAAGATAAGTCTGTAAAATTTCAAACTTGGAATAAGTCAGTCTGGTTTAGTATCTGAGATTTGCAATAATGCTGACTATCTTAGTCTGTTATTTCCAATTAGTCAAGAGTTGGTTGACCACATTTCTCTGTCTGACATATTGAATATATCAAGTAGGAAGTAATGTCTGACCTTTCTCTGAAAGAGTATAAATCAGATAGTTTGTCTGTCAGGATGTATCACCCCTCTCAGCTGTGATTATTTCTCAATATAGGCAAAGGTTCAAAGAAGAGGGGTAAAGTAACTAAACAGGATGTAGTGAGAGGAGGAGGAAGAGAATTGAGATACCTGCTTGAGGTAGAGATCGTCTGGGAGAGCAAGGCAGTTTGAGAAGTCTGTGTTGGAATGAGTCTGTTTGGAATAATAATATTAATAATAATAATAGCAATAATAATCATCAAATTTTAAATCGCACCTTTCATGTCTGGAGGATGTCTCACAGCTCTTCACAGTTTTTATTATAGAGTTTAGTGTTGGTGAACACAGTAGCTATTTTATGCAGAGCAACGTCCCGAAAACAATCGTGAAGTGGATGACCATTTGTACTGTGTGAAATGCTTTCTATTTTCAAATTGAGCCATTTGAACAAGCAGATATGACCTCAGCTTAATGTCATCCAAAGGACAGTACCTCAAACAGTCAACACTTTCCCCGTCTACATTGGGGTATCAACTAAGACTGCAAACTTAAAGACCTTAAAGACGTGGGCTTTAACCCCCAACCTTCTGACACAGAGGCAGTGCTATCAACTGGGCCAGGCTGCCACTTAATACTGTGTACAATAAGATAAGACAAATATTCCATTTGTTTTAGTATCTGAGATTTGCAATTATGCTTGTTCTGTCAGTCTGTCATTTCCAATAAGCCACAAAGTTAGATGACCACATTTTCTGTGTCTGAGTGTGCCTGAGACACAACACATATCAATTCTGAAGCAGTTTCCTGTCAGACCCCACACAAGCCGCATTAAAAAAATTCATAGAAATTCAGTAAAAGCATTATGGGTGGCAGCTATTCAGATCAAAAGTAAAATCCTGTGTCCAACAGCCTGCGCTTGCACATGTTTTAATATTACCTTTATAAAGAGCTCCTTGAAGACATCTCTTTTCATGCTTAAGATTCCCAGTTATATAGTCATTTTTCATAACTCAATCCTCTAACACTGTCCACTGGTACTGGATCCTGGGCAGCCCCTTGTGAGGTTATAAGGACAGCACTGCAAACAGTGCCTGTACATAGCACTATATAGATCGAGCAGGGGAACTGAACCAAAATGATTTAGCAATGTAGTCCCCATCTTTTTTTAAAAATAATTATTGCATTTTGACAGAGTTACTTATCACATGTCAAAACATCTCCTGGGTTTACTGGGTATTTGTAGGAAATTGCAGCAGCCAATTTGCGCACAACAAACCAGAAGGTTAATGATCACTTTTTAAATCTAGGGAATGCTTGGCTAGGACACTAGGAGAAACTTCCTTCTCTTTTTAAATAGTGCCAATAAATCTTTAATGTCCACTTGAACTGGTAGATGGGATGTTGGTTTAACACAGGGCTTCAATCCATAACTTTCTGACTTAGAGGCGAGAGTCCTACTGACTGAGCCAGGATGACACTATACAGGCTTAACACATTTTTATCACTCCCTTGCACTGTTTGCATATTTACCATTGGACAGAAAATGAATGAATTCAACTTGAAGTACATGATGTACCTTAAGGCATGTGCTCACTGTACGTTTGATTGAAGATCAAGTTGAATGTTTACGGTTTGGGCTCCACTGCTATCTGATAGCGCATCAAACCTCTGCCAGTCCACATGTTGTTTTTGAACTTTATCTACAGTTAGCAATCTTTAGTTTCAGTAGGAAAGCATCTGGACAACAGTGATCACACATCATTAGGTTTAGGGTACTTATGGAAATGGACGAGGAACAATCAAAGGTGAAGATACTTAACTGGAAGAGGGCTAATTTCAGTGAGTTAAAAAGGGACCTAGCCAAGGTGGACTGGAAAGAAAGATTGGCAGGTAAAACAGTTAATGAGCAATCGGAAGCTTTCCAGGAGGAGATAGTTCAGGGACAGAACAAATACATTCCCACAAAGGGGAAAGGTATGGCATCCAAACCTCCCTGGATGACTAAGGAAATTGGGATTCAAATAAAACAGGAAAAGGAGTCTTATGACAAATGTCAGGTCCAAAATACAGAAGATAATCAAATAGAATATAGAAAGTACAGAGGAGAACTGAAAAATAAAATAACAGGAGCAAAGAGATTGTATGAGAAAAGATTAGCAGGTAACCTAAAAGGGAACCCTAAGGTATTTTATAAGCATATAAAGAATAAAAGGTTAGTCAAAGGTAGGGTGGGGCCAATTAGGGACCAAAGAGGAAATCTTCTTGTGGAGGCAGAGGGCATGGCTGACGTACTAAATGAGTACTTTGCATCTGTCTTCACAAAAGAAGAGAATGCAGTCAATGCCACAGTATCGGAGTAGAGGGTAGAGAAACTGGATAGGATAAGAATAAACAGAGAGGAAGTACTAAAACGTTTGACTGTGCCAAGTAGATAAGTCACCCAGTCCAGATGGTATGCATCCTAGTTTACTGAGGGAAGTAATGGTGGAAGCTCTGACCACAGACTTTCAATCCTCCTTGGACATCTGGGTGGTGCCAGAGGACTGCAGGGTTGCAAATGCTACTCCCCTGTACAAAAAAGGGCAGAAGGATAAACCCAGGAACTACAGGTCAGTCAGCCTAACGTCAGTAGAGGGGAAACTTCTAAAGATTATAATCTGGGACAAAATTAATTTTCATTTAGAAATATAAGGATTAATAAAGGACAGCCAACATGGATTTGTTAAAGGCAAATCATGTCTAACAAACCTGATAGTTTTTTGATGAAGTAATGGAGAGGGTGGATGAAGGTAGTTCAGTTGATATAGTTTATATGGATGTTTGATAAAGTGCCACATAAGAGACTTGTAAGCAAAATAGAGGTCCACGGTATTAAAGGAACAGTGAGTGGCAGCATGGATACAGAACTGCAGACAGTTATGGTGAACGGATGGATATAGGGAGTACAATTTCCAAGTTTGCAGATGATACTAAGCTAGGAAAAGTAGTAAATGGTGAGGAGGATAGGAGCAAACTGCAAGAGAACATAGACAGACTGGTAAAATGTCTGTGGCAGATGACGTTTAATGTGGAGAAATGCGAAGTGATGAATTTTGGGAGGAAGAATGAGGAGAGACAATATAAGCTGATGGTACAATCTTATAAGGGGTGAAGGAACAGAGAGACCTGGGGGTTCGTATAAGTAAATCTTTGAAGGTGGCAGGACAGGGAGATAAAGCTGTTAAAAAAGCATACGGGATACTACGCTTTATAGCTAGGAACATAGAATACAAAAGTCCGTAAGTTATGATGAACCTTTATAAAACACTGGTTAAGTCTCAACTGTGTTCAGTTCTGGGCATCACAATTTAGGAAGGATGTCAAGGTATTGGAGAGGGTGCAAAAGAGATTTACCAGGATGGTACCAATTATCATGTGAGGCTAGAGAAGCTAGGATTATTCTCCTTGGAGCAGAGAAGATTAAGTGTAGACTTAATAGAAGTTTTCAAAATTATGAAGCGATTCGATAGGGTGAACAAGAAGAAACCATTTCCACTGGCGGGTGGGTCAGTAACCCGAGGACATCGATTTAAAATAGTTGTTAAAAGAAACAGAGGGGAGAAAAAACTTTCTCACACATCGTGTTGTTCGGATCTGGATGCATTGTCTGAAAGAGTGGTGGAAGCCAATTCGATAACAACTTTTAAGAGGGAAGTAGATAATTATTTAGGGAGGACAGGTTTACAGGGCTAGGGGGAGAGTGCGGGGAGGTGTGATTGATTTGGATAGCTCTTTTAAAAAAAGTCGGCTCAGATACGATGGGCTGAATGGCCTCCTTCTGTGCTGTATAATTCTATGATTCAACTAATTTCATTGCCTAGATTTACGATAAGTCTCGACTAATAACAACCTGTAGCTCAGTGGTTAGAGCACTCGCTTTGCAAGCGAGAGACCTGAGTTCAATTCCAGGCAGCGCGAAACCTTGGGAAGTTTCCTTACTCCACACAGAGCCTAATAATAATCCCGCCAAAACCAAAAACAATAATAAAAAAATTGGTCATTTTCAATCTACGACTGTTTGTGGGACATTGCTGTGCGCAATTGGCTGCTGCGTTTGCCCACAAATATACAGTCAATTCACTTTACAGTGTGTTCTGTGAAACGCTTTGGGATGTCCTCCTGACGTGAAAAGCGCTACATCAAATGCAAGGATTATTATTATTATTATTAACCATCACTACTATCAACAAATTACATTTATTTATCGCCTTTTATGTTGAGGTGACATCTCAAATCGCTTCATACAACTAACTGGAAGACCAAGCTGAAGGAGGAGCAGAGTATGAGAAATAGAAGAGATAGGTCTTAAAGTGAGGAATGGGATGGATACGATCCTAGGACTCTGGGATGGAGTTCCAAAGTGTAGAGGCAGAATGGCTTGTCCACTGATGGTAGGGAGGGCAGTGAATCAGGGTGATGCTTCAGATCACTATTTCCCTTAACACCTCCATCCCCCTCTCTGCCACCCACCCCATGTGCATCTCCTATCAACCCTGGAGAAAAAATCCCCCCATGCCCTCTCCGCTGCCCTGGATGCATCTGAACTCCCCTTCCAGCCCCCCTCCATCTCTCCCTCCACACTTTTGACCTGGTCTCCCACTCTTTGCTCACCTCCATCATTTCCCATATGAAACCCACCACCTGCTCCCTTGACGACATTCCTTCCACTCTCCTCACCTCTCAGCTACACGTCCTTGCTCCCCAACTAACAAACCTTGTTAACCTCTCCTGTCCACTGGCACCGTACCAATCCCCCTAAAGACAGCCGTCATCAACCCTCCACTCAAAAAACTTTCCATTGATCCATCTCTCCAACTACCCTGATTCACGCTTTCATTATGTCCCGGCTTGACTTCGCCAACTGCCTACTCACTGGACTTTCCAACTCTTTCCTCCACAAGCTGCAGATTATTCAGAACTCTGCAGCTTATGTCCTCTCCCGCACCAGGCTCCAGGAACGCATCAGCCTCATTGTTGCCCAGCTTCACTGGCTCCTAATTCCTCAGAGAATCAAGTTCAAAATCCTCGTTCTTACGTTCAATCTCCATGGTCTTTCTCCCCCCTATCTCTCCGTCCTCATAACCCTATACCGGCCTGTCTGCTCCCTCCGCTCGGTGGACACCAGCCTGCTTCAGGTCCCCCGCACTTCCTGCTCCATCATTGGCGGTCAGGTA